AGCGAGCTGTACGCGGATGCCGTGCTTACTGCCAAATATCTGACGAGCCTCTGAGACGACGTTCTTGATGTGGACAGGGAGCTCTTCTGCCTTGGCTGCGACATAGCAGCAGGCAGCGATGACGATGAAGGGGTCTGTCTCACAGTAGGAGTTCTTGATGTAGAAGCGGCGGAAGAACACAGTAGCGGTCGCAATCACTCGCTGTCTGAGCTGCAGCTTCTTGCCGAGCTTGGATATCACTGAGAAGGACGGAGATGAGAGCAACGCAAAGACGAAACAGCAAAGGATGCTCACGATTAGCGAAGAAGATGGCAAGAAAGTCAAGGTGTTCTGGATCGTCGACATAGCGAAGGTCGTCTGCACGGGCCTGCCTGAACGTTGCTCTGTCGAATATCCACCTCTTGCTAACAAATTACAATGGATGATGGTTAGCGCCAGTGTTGACACGACAGAAGGGATGTCTGACAAGTGTGAGCTTGCCCAGAAGTCCGTGGCCATGTCCTCTTGTGAATAAGTAAAGCCTGTACTCCCAAGACTAAGGAGTGGACACAACAACAGTGGTCTCGCGCGGGTATTACTTGCGCGGCATCGAAATGCACCGTGGTCGTCTTAGGATAACTACTCTTTTCTGTATCTGAGCAGCGACTCTTTGCAGGTTTCAGCGACTGCTCTGTGGACGACGTGATGACAATGTTCATGTAGCCAGTGGTCGCAGACAACGCCGCTATTCGTCCACTTGGAAGTCACAAGGACGACACACCCTATTAGTACGTACTGCGTACGGCAAATGCCGCCATCGGATCTCAGATACTTCGTTGATGAAGGCCACTCGCTCGTTCCTTTCGGTAAACTTCTAACGATGCGTTGCAAGAACAAGTTCAAAAATTCTAACCGTGCACTCCACACAATGCATACTTAACACAAGTTTCCGAGACAAAATACACAAGAGTCTATGATTAAGGAAGGGGGCGACAGCATGTACATCAACGATTCTTCATACTAACAACCCGCAAAACGACCTCCATTGTGTATGCTTCCTGTCTTGAGCCTCAGACCTCACGCATCGGGCCATACGGCTTTCGCAGTCTCTACGACGAGAGCTAGCTTGCGCACGACGTCCTCCTCCGTGACGGGGTTTCCTTCGGCATGCGATGCGAAGCCGCACTGAGGGCTGATGCATATCCTACGTATAGTCAGTCAGACGGGCGCATGTGCGGCCTCACAACTAAACGAAAGTCCAACGTACTGATTCAACGCTTCTTCCAGAGAGCGCGGCTCCTCGCCATTTGCAATGATCTCTGCTGCTCGGTGTACGCGGGCAATCAACTCTTCTTTGTCTTCCATCTAGGTATATTGTCAGCTATCCTACAAGATATAGTGCGAGGAGGGCATGTCAATGCCTTGCCTTGGGGAATTTGCTCGAGACGAGGCCGAGGACGACAGACTTGTTCCTCGGCAGCCAGCGCAGGGGCTCAAACGTCCCGGCGCGCTCCGTGTCATATTCCAGCTGCATCCGGTCGATGAGCATTAGTGGCAGCTAACTATGAGACAGGCCATTGGAGCGCCGACTCACGTAGTACGTCGTCGCGGCGATCTCGCGGAAGAGCTTGATCGCGATGCGGTCGTAGCCCCCCTCACTCCAATGTCTGCCGCCCTAAGTAATCCATCAGCAATCACTACGCAAGATATGCGTATTTGAGCTGGCGCACCTTGAAGTTCCCGCGGCACAGGTGTATCCCGAGCGTCATGTCCGCGGGGTGGTCCTTGAGGCATGTGTCATACACCCGACAATATAGGTCGAAAAGCGCGACATGGTCTATTCCGCGTTCCTCCATGCCCTGCAGCATCTTCTGGTCGCAGAAGAATGCGAGCAGGGGCGCGTCAATCTGGATATTTCCTGTAATATGTAGGCAGGCTATGTGAGTAGGAGATACAGGGCGCGATGGGAGGAGATAGGCAAGACATACTGCAGCCAGCAGCGTACAGGTCTGCGATCTCTTCTCTGTACGCCCTGATGATGTCTGCGAAGTATTCCTCTAAATGTAGACATCCCGTAAATGTAAATGACCGCCCTCGTTCCGAGGTAGTTACCTCACCGCTACGCACCATCGTTTTGGTACACAGACGTATCGTAGGAGTACGGGCCATGCCGCAGGTGAAACCACTCGGGCGCGCACATAGTGATCTTTAGATTCTTGTGCTCCTGAAAAAGCACGCTAGCATGAGGAAAGAATGGAAGCGACAGGGCGCACGCACGTCGGACCGTGTGAGCCTCTTCAAGTCTTCGAATTGCGAGATGTAGAACGGTTTTACGCGCCTGATCTTTGCCTATTAACCCTCGCGTGTCAGGTTGGTAAAGTGAAAGGACAGCTGAAAGCCTACGTCGCAGACGTAGGAAGGCACGCCAGTCGTCTTGCTTTCCTTGAACGCCGGCACGTCTGGTACGTAGTCCTATAGTAATATACACATCAGCTGAGCGATGCTGTGATGCGCAATGGTCCTTACCATGAACCACTCGAGCGGAACTGCTCGACCGTGTTTAAATCATTTGATGCAGTTATTGAAGCACGTAGGACGTACCTTTGGGTATATACTTCATGCCCTCTAGTTGGTCGAACACGCCCTCGAAGAATATATGCCTGCATTCTTCCCGTTAACATTGGTCCTACATCCCCTCCTCTCTTGAACCGTGCACGATGTATTGGTCAGTGGAGCATATCGCCTCACCTCCGGAATTCGCCATCCGTGATGCCCTTGATTCCCACGTCCCGCTGCATCTGTATCGCAGTCTGTATCGCGGCATCCTCAGCCGCACGCAGCGTCGAGAGCGTGCATCGCCCCTCGCTGTAGGCCTTGCGCGTACGTAGCAATATTTCTGGTCGCTTGAGCGAGCCGATGTGCTCGGCACGGAAGGGTGGGTTGAGGCAGATAGCTGGCGCTGTCATAACGGATGTTCAATATGTAGAGCACAAGGGGCGAGGCTCTGGCATATATGTGCTGGACATGATATACAAACTGAAGGGACTGATGCTGGTATGTCATCCTAGCCTCAGTATTCCCGCCGGTGTGGACGAAGCACCGTTCTCAGGTCCTCGTGACCTCTGGTGGGTATGGGATTTATATCTGGACAAAGAGAGAGGGCCTAGACGACGATTTACTATCATGCCTATGGCAATCAGCATGCAGTGCTTATGCATGAGAATCATCGGAGGTAGTCATGGTGGCTTCGCTGTCAAGCAAACGCACGTCCCCGTGTCTATATGAGTACCGATAGCAGTCAGCAGTGATTAACCTCCATCTCAGCAGCAACGATAACGCAGCCGATGCAAAATTTCTAGAATGCTCACCAATGAGTGCTCTGAGAAAGCGGGATCTCATAAATAAACTAGGTGCACGTCAAGGAGTATGACGTCCCTAATTCCATTTCGTCCACGGGCAGATGGCCGTGGTTCTTATTTAATCGAACAAACCATAGCCAGGTTCTATCGCACAGGGTAGAGAGTCGCCATGTCACTCGACAGAGTTGTGCATTTGAGGACATTTTTCAGAGCTAGTTTCCCAAGTATGTTACAGATACTCAAGTTACCAACGGAATAGTAGATGATCATGGCGAGTGATAGATTTTCATATGTTAGAAGTCAGGCCTTCAGGGAGTGCGCTGTTCTCGAACAAAGGGATTGAATAGAGTGTACTGCAGACACTTCAAAGAGCTCGAGGGTAGCGCATGAACAAATTTGAGGTCGATATTCAAAGTCGAAAGCCTAAGGGAAATGGACAACGTGGCATTACCGTAAGTGGTGATCACGGGACCCCCATCATTGTTCGAACTCGGACTCGCATCTCACTCAGGTCCCGCAACTGGGATTGCATTCGGCCCCTCACCCTCCTGCTTTCCTATACATTTTGGTTGCTTTCTGCGTGCTTTAACTTTGTAACCGGGTCCACACAACTCTGGCGGAATTGCGACCATAACCTGCATCGCCAGCACGAAGTCACCATGATACTCCGATTGACCCTCCTCGTTCCTTGCCTTCTCGCAGCTCTCATATACGGTGCCAATGCTGACCCAAACGCTGGGTCGCTATATCCACCCGGACTTATGCCCCTCATTCAGCGAGCAGACGTGCTGCTCTCTGCGGGGCAGTATAACGATGCTGTGAAGATCTATTCTGAAGCAATAGGTAAGCATTGTGGTATTTTGTCTAATTACGCTTTGGTGGAATATAACGGAGCAGTATTGACGGCATCTCTCCGTTTGGATGCTTGCGCGGTAGCTGTCAATACTGTGACGTTGTGTGCAGTTTCATGGTCTATTCCTTAGCCCTCTCAAGTGGTGCTACAACTATACTCCTTGTTGCCCGTTCTGTATGCCCCATCCAGGACGCAGCACCTTTCTTGAAAAGCTGTACCGACCGCTACTGGCGCAGTACTTTTTGCGGCCTTGAGTTCAGGTTTTAGCCTCAATCGGACTCTAAGAGGAGCTGTATACTTGGTCTGTGAAAGCCCGAGGCATATTAACTGTTCTTGTGTCAGCCGGAATTCCACGACTATCCATGCTCCCCTAAACATTGTACTGATGCTAATCATACAGAACAGTCTCCCGTTGATTACCTGCTCTACTACAAGCGCGCGACAGCATACTACTCGCTCAGCAGGCATCCAGCTGCACTGTCCGATTTTGACAAGGTGCTCGAGTTCACATCAGGCTCGTTCGACAAGGCGTACCTCATGAAAGCGCGTATCCTCGCCAAGGAGGGTCGCTTCACAGAGGCACGCGACGCGATCAAGCGCTACACGTCGAATGTCAAGGACCAGGACGCGCAAGAAGTCTTGTATTCCATCAGCGAGGGTGAACTTGCTGCGAAGAAGGTCTCTCAGACGATGCGTGCGAAGTTGTGGACCGCATGCGAGGAGGCGGCATTGACAGCATTGAAGACTGCATCACATTCGGCGGAGCTGAGACAACAGCGCGCGGATTGCGCTATTGCCGCTGGTAACATTGAGAGTGCAGTCGGTGACCTGACGTGAGTGTTCTGCTTCGAATTTTAGTCAGAGTTTGGTCTCATGGGTTTTGAAGGCGGCTTACACATCTGATTACCCCGTCTACGGCATTGCTCATGAAGATCTTCCGCCTTTCCTACTTTCTCGGCCCCTACAACCTCGGCGAGCAGTCTACCGCCCTCAACACGCTCAAGCAGTGCCTCCACTACGACCCTGACTCTTCCGAATGTCTCCCCGCCCACCGTCTCGTCAAGTCCCTCGATAAGTCCTTCAAGGCGCTCGAGAAGCATCTTGCAGCGGAGGATTGGCGCGCCATCGTCAAACTACTCGCATCGCCCGCCGAGGGCGGTAAGGACGGCGTACTCTCGTCCTTCGACGTCGCGCTCGAGGCACACACGAAGCGTGGGGCACTTGGGCTCCCCGCCGTTGTCCCGACTCCGTCAGCGAAGCGCACGTCCCCGCGGCGAGCGGTGCTCCTGCGTGCGCTGTGTCGCGCACATACACGCTTAGGCGATCCGAAGAAGGGTGAGCGCTGGTGTGAGGCGCTACTCGGGATGGAGGGCATGCAGGACGACGCGGATGGTCTTCTCGGACGCGGGGAGGCGTTGTTGGCGAAGGAGGAGTGGGAGGAGGCGGTACGGGTGCTCGAGCGCGCGTTTGAGGCGAGTGGGCGGAGCAGTCGCGAGGTGAGTGCGGTATGTATGTCCGGGTGTGCACTCGACTAATAGTGTGCTCAGATACACCAGAAGCTGCAGAAGGCGCAGCGTCTGCTGAAGCAGTCGAAGCAGAAAGACTATTACAAGGTTTTAGACGTGCCACGCGACGCCGATACTGCGACAATCAAGAAGGCTTAGTGAGCGCTCTTGATGATGTATGCCCGATAGTCGCTGACTGGCGCTACAGCCGTAACGCTGCAAGAAAGGCGCACCCGGACAAGGGTGGCAGCGAGGCGAAGATGGCTGCCGTCAATGAGGCTTATGAGGTGCTCAACAACCCAGGTCAGTGCTTGGCTGGCGCACGGGGACATGGCCGTCTGACCGATGCCCTCATCAGAACTGCGCCAACGGTTCGACAATGGCGACGACCCGAACGACCCGATGGCAGGTCAGGGAGGCAGCCCATTCTCAGGTGGCGCCGGGGGTGCGCAGCACTTCCAACAGTTCTTCCAGCAGGGCGGTTTCCAGTTCCACTACAGCCCGCCGGGCTTTCACTGAGCATTGGCGCTCGTGTACACATGGGTCACGTTCTGAAGAACTTAGATTTGAATGTGATGTTGCCGATTTCAGCAGGCACGGCTTGCCTTCCGTCAGTCCGGTTCCTCCTTCTTTATCTTCTCTGTCTTCGCATATCCGGCATCTTTGCGCATTGTATACTCCTGCACGTTGTAATCTTGTGTTTTATGGCATGGACTCCAATAACTTCTGGCGTGTGTTGTCGAGATCGCGTTCGTCGTCGCAGTGATCGCCAAAGGTGCTCTCGGCCGAATATACTACACCCACTCAAAGTGTGTATCCATCGTATATTCCCATTGCCTCGCTCATAAACCCTCTCGTGATAGACGCTACCTCCGAAGACTTCGGGTGGCGATAACGTTCATACTGCCTTGAGGTTTCCGGTGATTTCCATTGTCTTGGCCTCCACAGCCATCTACTTTCGTGAATTGTGTTCCTTACGGTCACCTGGCTGGATTAGTTGAGGAATCTTAACCGCACCCTACTTCGGTCAACCTGAGGTCAGCAAATCTCGAACATTCACGTCTTCCCATCGCCCTACCCCCAGGTGAGTAACACCGGACGACCAGACTAAGCGACTCACTCAGGCATATGTACTGGGAAGTTTCGGCAAACTGTGATAGAAGGATAGGCAAGTAACCCATGTTGCTCCCTCGTGATGCATGCTTCGGGAAGCGCGGATCTATGGAGAGGTGCTATGGCCGGACCCCATAATGCGCATGACACCCCAGTGTCCGCCACGGTGTTCACGGTTTCCTGGCTCATCGCTCCGCTTCTCACGCAGGGACGATATTTCCAACTACGTTAGCCAACGACATCTCAACCCACACTGTACGCGGTTTGGCCGTACGTTACCGACTCGGCACGGGTTCAGGCTTGATGAGCATGGGTGATCGGCACCAACACGGTGAGAACTCCCCAGGCAGCCTAGACAGAAGCACCCTTCGGACTCCAGTCATGTCTCATTACATTACTGGGTCCTAAAAACATATATGACCTCTCTCTCAGTGCGTTCCTTGCTCGACCGCAGAATTCACTTGTCCTTGCTTTAGATCACAGACGAATCATCATGCCGGGTCTCACGACGTCACCCCCATTCCCGGACAATGTTCCCACCCACCCTCTGTTGGTCGCCGATTACTCTCTCCTGAAGGCTGGCGACGAGGCAGAGATTGCAAAGCTCTGGAAAGCGGCGACCGAGCTGGGTTTCTGGTAGTAAGTCTGCAAACTGTGTATTGCCCGAGCCTGTCGACATTGACCGCCTTGAAGTTTGAAGAACCATGGAGCAGATGAAGAGGTCAAGGCAATGTTTGATATGGGTGCTGAAACGATGGCGCTCCCACTCGATGAAAAAATGAAGTTCGAACAAGGCGATGAGGGCATGTCATTTGGGTAGGAGTGCAAGCCGTCCGTTCCCAGTGTATCTCAACTCGAATCTCAGATATAAAGCAGCTGGAGCGAATGCGACTGACGAGAAGGGAAACCTGGATACCGTCGAATTCATCAACATCTCGAAGGACGATGCCTTAGCCTGGCCGAGTACTGTTCACCGCACCTATCCGTCCACCGTCAACGCCCGCATGGAGAACACCATCAAGACATTTGTTCAGAAATCCCTCGAAGTGAACAACACGCTGTTGGCCATCTTCAATGATATGCTCGGTCTGCCGAAAGGCACGTTGTTAAAGGTGCACGCACGCGAGGAAAACAGCGGGTCCGAGGCTCGATGTATCAAAAACCCTCCTCCGACCGACCCTGCCGCTGAGACGAAGGCAGCTCTCGGTGCCCATACCGACTTCGGCTCTTTGGTCCGTTCGTCTTTTTTCTGGCATGCATATGCGACTGTTGACAGCGACTCCCAGTCATTCTTGCACAACCGCTTGGGTGGTCTGCAGGTCATGGTGCCTGGCACTGAGGAATGGCAGTACATCAAGGTAGGACAATGTCGTTATCTATCACGGGCCGCCTGACACTGTATGCAGCCGATACCTGGTCACGCTGTCTGCAATCTTGGCGATGCAATGGCCATCTTCAGCGGTGGTATCCTTCGCTCCAACTTGCACCGGGTCGTGTGAGTGGCTCAATCATGCGAATGACGCAATACGTGACATGTCTATCGCGTTTGTTCTAGGCCGCCGCCTGGAGAGCAACGCAAGTTTGAGAGATGGTCACTCGTATTCTTCACTCGGCCTGGCAATTCAGTCGTACTGGAAGCGCTCACGAACGAGAGTCTTATGATTGCTGAGGCCGTATCTGAGGCTCCAGACACCGGTATCTATCGCTCTGGTCAAACCGCAAGTCAATGGTTCGCTAGACGCATCAAATATCAGAGGATTAAGAATCAGAAGGTAGGATATACTTTTGCGACTGATGAATAGTGCTTAACGTTTGGAAATGTCAGGGTCCAGAAACTTGGAGGGCTAGTCGCGGAACAGAGCATCGTCCCGAGGCCGCTTGAGACGTGTTCTCGCAGAATGAGGACGGCAGCCATTCAGACCCTTGTAGATTACGTCGTAGTGGAGTGTACAATGCGTGTCATGGATTGGCCTGTATGTGTGTTATATGAATGTATGGTGCTGTAAGAACGGGTCACACGCAGCCTTGCTAGGATGCATAGCAGGAGACCACTTTGCAGATGCTATTGTACAAGTCGTCCTCAAGAAGTGTAAAGCTCGATACCGCAAATTGCGCTTAGTTTTGGTCAGATGACGGCGTAGTTTTGCGTTCACAGCTCGTCATGTTGAGTGGTGTCTAAATGCTGATTTGCCGTATTGCCTTTCCCTGCCTATATCTCAAGATCAATCCCCGTCCCGTGAATCAAACTTGTATAGTCAATAGGAGTATGACTTACCAGGGTGGCCGACGCCCATTCCTGCGGCTCAGCGGCCATCTCAAAGATAATCTCGCCGCCCGACGCGATCTGCTCGTGCGTGATGATGGGAGCGTCGAAGGACTCGCCGTTTACCGTCACACTCTTCACGTATGGCATCGTTGGCGCTCCATTTGAGGTGATGACCAGAGGCTGGGCCACGCCCGGTAGGTCGATTGTGATTTTGTCGTAGAATGGCCTGCGAACAGACGTGAGCCACCAGTTGTCACCGAAATCACGGCGCATCACGTACGTGCCAATCACGTATGTGGCGGATACAGGGTCGACGGGGTAAAAGCCCAAGGCACTGAATATGTACCACGCGCTCATCTGCCCGCAGTCATCGTTCTAAAATCCCGAGATGAGACGCAGCTCTGTGTACCCGTCCCGTGATTATGAATAACGTACACCTGACAGGCCGTCAATCGTGGCGTTATAGTTCGCAGCAGCAATTTGGCGGATGCGTTCCTGGCCCTTGGAGGCGGCCCCGGCGAGCGCGTAAAGGTACGGAATGTGGTGGGATGGCTGGACGTAACACGCGTACACGTAAGTTCCTGACGGGTGCAGACGGTCTTAAAATACCCACCTCGTTGGTCTGGTCGTTGTGTCCTTAGGGGGAAAGCGTCAGTCCCCCGACACCCACCGCCATCGGAAAGTGAAAATTTACTGACCGCCATCGAAGTGCTCGTCCAGGAACTGCACGAAGGAGGCGTTCCCACCCCGGTGCGCGATCAGGCCCGGGATGTCCTGGATGACATCGAACGTGTACGCCCACATGTCGCCCTCCGTCCAGCCCTCATCCTGGCCCGCCCACGAGCCGTTCGCGTTGCGCGCTTCCATAAAGCCCGTGGCGTTGTTGAAGATGGTGAATGGCGCCGTGTCCGCGCGGTTGCGGAAGAAGGCCGCGTCTTCATCGTGCCCGAGGTACGCCGCCAGCACGGACACAGCGTAGTCGTCGTCTGCGGATCGAGATGATTAGAAGATGGAGGAGACGGACCAAATGGAGCGCAGGGGCGTACAGGCGAAGTCGAGGGTCCGCGACGCAGCTTCGGAGTGGATGTCATTCGCAACCCAGCCATGCTCTTCGTACACCGACGAGAGGCCTGCGCGGACCTCGTAGCCCACGCCCTGTACACACCGCTGTCAGTGTGCGCGAGCTGGAATACTTCTGCATAGTGTATCTGACCTCCTCACGGTCGTAGTACCTGTGAGCACGTTAATGCGTCAGAGTTGATGCCGCGCGGCTACAGCTTAGGTGAACGACATACGAGATAATCCAGTCTTCGAAGGGCGGTACGGTCGCATCCTTGTACACCGCCGCATACGCCGTCTCGAGGTCGAATCCGGTGATGTTCTTGATAACGGCTTCTGCGATGAGCGAGTCCGCATGCGTCGAGATCTACCACGCCATCAGCCTCGAGCAGGACAGCCGGGTGGAGCATTTGGCGGGGATACCATGATGTTTGTCTCTGTGCCATCAATCAGTTGGAGGAGTGTATGCCGGGAAGAGACACCGCACCGACGATATTCTTCCACATCGGCAGCCAGCCGCCCTACACATTGACACCCATCGTGTCGCACGGGTCAGCGCCGCCGCCTATTCCATATCAAAAGCGGACGCACCTCCACGTAGTCCTGCAGCATGCTGCGCACCATCCCCGGGATGCGCTCCGGCGCAATCAAGATCAGCCACGGCCACTCCGCGCGGAAGGTGTCCCAGTTCGAGTAGCCTGTATATGAGCTGCCCTCATGCACCGCGTTGTCGTACCCCGAATAGTACTGCCCGCCCTCGTCCTGCTCGTACGGATACTGCGCGCGTACCGCTTCAACCCCGCACACTTGGACCCTCTGCACACCGAAGACGCACCTGCAGCGTGTGGAAGAACCCCGTGTAGAACGACACGCGCTCCTCCGCGCTCGCGCCCTCGATCTGCACGCGCCCCAGCTTGTCTACCCACGCCGCACGCGTCACGCGCGCGGTCTCCTCCAGCGGCGTCCCGTCCGGCACCTCTGCGTCGATGGACGCGCGCGCCTGCTCTGTGCTGATGAAGCTCACGCCGACACGCACGTCCACGCTCTCCGTGCCCGCGGGGAACACCGCGTACGCGGCCAGCTCCGTGCCCGCGCCGCTCTGAACGCCCGGTGCGTCGGCGCTGCCCTGGCGGACGCCCCAGCTGGCGAGCGGCGCGGAGAAGCGCGCACAGAAGTAGCCTGCCCAGCCCGGCGCGGGGTTCGGGCCGAGGATCTCGTCCTGCCGCTCGGGATTGTGCCCGCAGATCTCGCGGGAGTCTGGTGAGACGGAGACGGAGCCTGCGGGGAAGGTGAGCCAGGTGCCGTTAGGCGAGGCGGGCGACCCGAGGGTGCTGGCGCGCGTCGCCTCGACGAGCACCCACGGTGCGGTGGACGTGTTGGTGAATGTGAAGCGGAGATGGCCGACGCGAGAGGCTAGGGATAGGTGTCGCGTGTGAGCATGCGAGGCGAAATGTGTAGAAGCCACTCACTCGCACTCATCTCCGCTGAGATGATACCGCCGCCTTCCGATGCAGGTGCTTCCATGTCCACTGCATAGTAGCTCACGCTAACGGCCTCGCGGCGCCCATCATCGTCATAGACGATATCCAGGCCGCGGTCGTCGAACGCACTCTGCACCGTGCCGACACCGGGCGTGACGACGACCTGGCCGCTCTCGCCCATCCAGATGGCGGGTTGGTGGGTGCCTTGGAAGCCGTGGATGGTCGTGTAGGTGTGGTTGTAGGGCAGGACGGAGACGTAGTTCTCCGTGGTCTGCGCAACCCAGCGTGTCATGGCAAACGGAGGCGCAGTGCTGGGAATCATGCCGCCAGAACCGTTTGGCGTGTCGCCGCCATTTCCAATGAGTCTAGCAATTGATCGGTCAGTCGCGATGAGATGTGCTGTGGGAGCGCAACGTTGACAGTCATGGATAATTCTGCACGAATGCAGCACAATGGGATATGTGAAATGTGTAGCCTGAAGAAAAGTATAACATCAAGCTGTAGAGTATATCCGCGAGGTGCCGGACATCGACCAGTCGCCTTGGTTATTCGGAAAGCTGGAGCGGCCAACAGCTGAGCGTCTGTCATTTAATCATGACGACCCTTTGTCACACACACGCTGCCAGGCAAGCCGACTGTCCATGTGTAAAAGCATCGTCCAGGGCTAAAGTGGACCATCAGATGGCCGTGAAACCCGTCGCCCTCGTTTAGAGTCGCTACGACTGGGGCTGGGCGACTAAACATCAGTTGGGCGCAGAGTCGTTGGCAGCCACATCGCTGCCTGAGTGAATACGGTCGCCAGCATTGTAATCCAGACAAGAATGCGACAGAAAGAGATCAATATGACATACGGATCGACATCGTCTACCTCTGCGCTTGGCGGCTGCTTGAACTGCGGTGGAATCTCGAGCTTAGCGGCCGCGAGGGACGCAACGAGGACGCTGCAGAGCGCCGCGATTTTGACGGACATTGTGAGCGAGCAGAGAGAGCTGCTCCTAGGATTAGGGTTTTGAGTGGGAGGGAAGTCGCGACGCGTCCGGTGATACACGGTCACCTGATTGTCCACGTGGCCGGGGATCTAGTCAGGATAGGCTAGATTGCCGTGAGATCCCGCCCCGATTACCCAGATGGTTGGTTCCCGATCGTAATTCGGTTCCGCCTCGCATTCAATTTGCGCGGGCACTTGCCACTTGCTCTCCTCTTTGGGCGGGCACCGTGACAAAACAAGGTGATCTGACTTGTATCACTCAAATTCGTCCTCCCGCCACCTCCCAAACAAATTAAACTAATGTCATTGGCTGAAATTACAGTAAATTACTGATAAGCGATGTCATTTCCGCACTTTCACGTAGTATTGACGTGCTGGGACTATCCAGTGCACACGCACGCAACGTTCCCTCATGCACCGTGCTCAAAATGTGTCTATGCCTCCATCGGCAGCAAAGAGGCGCATTGCTTGTTCGCTGTGGATCTCTATGTACGCGGCCAGCGGTCCGCTGGATGCTCACGCCGCGGTCCGCATCGAGGCACAATATCGCCTGACACCTCCCAGATGACCGACTGAAATAGTTTCTCCACAGTAGCCCATGCGCATCCTTGAGAACGTCGCAGGCCGTTCTCCCGTGTTGCATTCCCATCCTCGTGCTTTAAAGCGCGTAACGCGGGCTTAGACTTCGAGGACAGGCGAACGAACTATTTGTCCGCATTCCCAACGCTCACGCTGTCAGTGATGTCATTCTGCGTGATTACGGCCATACGCCTGCTTCTGTATCTCTCCGTGTTCTGCCTCTTTCTGGCGCCATCCTCCGCTTATGCGCACGCCCGTCCATGGTGGTCTCCAAACCTTGACGCTACAGCCGCACACGGCCCCCTGCCTCTCGACGTGCGCACTGATCTGCACTTTCCTCTGCACGCGCGAGGGACAAACAACGACGGCTCCCTCCCAATTTACAAGGATCCCAATGCGCCGATTGAAAACCGCGTCAATGACCTCCTTCCGCGGATGACCCTTGAGGAGAAGATCGCTCAGCTGTGCGCGTATTTTTTGAATTTTCAAAACTCGCCGGTGCTTACCGCATTTGTTCCGTGATGGCCTCATGCAGCATCCAGGGCGACCTCGACGGCTGGATGAATCTCACAGACCCGAATGACGACACCCTGACATACAACGCAACCGGCCTTGTGCGTCCACCTTTCCGTCCCTCTCACCTCCCCTCGTCTGGGCTGACCCTATGAACGCTCGACACAGGTCACCGAACTCACCTCTAAAGCCGGCGCTATATGGGGCGGTTACCTCATGCCTTGGGACAAATGGGTCTATGGCATCACCATCGGGCAGCGCTACCTCATAGAGAACACGACGCTGGGCATCCCAGCCATCGTCCAGAGCGAAGGTGCACTTTTTCCCCCTTCATTTCCAATAATTTATCTTTCTACATAAGGCACTTCTGCCTCCTCACATGCTCGATCCGCCTTCCCCTATGCTCCATAACCTGCCGTTTGTCAATCGCTCATGACACACGTCACACGCAGCCTTGCACGGATTCACAAATAACGGCACGACATGGCCTTCGCCCATCGGCCTCGCCGCCTCCTTCAACGCGCCGCTCCTCCACGCCGCTGCCGCCACGATCGGTACGGAGGCTGCCGCGCTCGGCTTCTCCCAGGTCTTCGCGCCCGTGCTCGACCTCTCGCGCGAGCTGCGCTGGGGCCGCGTCGAGGAAAACTACGGCGAGGACCCATTCCTGTGCGTCCCTTGACGTGTTCCCGCGCTGAGATGCAGGCGAGGCGCTGACGTGCCGGTGTACCCGCACACAGGACAGGCGAGATGGGCCTCGCGTACGTTAGTGGTATACAGGAGGGCACGCGGCCCAACACCAGCGCGACAGCCGTTGCACGCGTCGCGGCGACGTGCAAGCACTTCGCCGCGTACGGCTCCCCCCAAGGCGGCCTGTGCGTCCTTCCATCCTTTGTGCTCACCGCCAACCCGTGTTAGTTCTCGGGACATGCACATGGTACTGACGTCGTGGTGGACAGGAACATCGCGCCCGTCGCGGGCGGCGAACGCGAGCTCCGTACCTATTACCTCCGGCCGTTCGAGCGTGCGTGCGCCGGCGTCGAGCCAACTCTCAGCCTCATGAGCGCATACGCAAGCTACGACGGCGTTCCGAGCGTGGCCAACTATCGTGCGTGTTTGTCCCTGTCTGCGTCAACGCCACCACCTGGACGGGCTGACGGACAAACACCTCTCCGGCAGACCTTCTCACCGAAATCGTGCGTTGATTTCTCGTCCGAAACCGCGGCTTCTGACCCCGGCCTGCTAGTAGCTGCGCGAAGAGTGGGGCTACCCGTACTTCGTGACGACGGACGCGGGCTCGGTGGACCTGCTCATCTCGACGCACGGCACGTGTGCGACGCGCGAGTGTGCGGCGAAAGACGCGCTCGAGAACGGGCTGCAGATGGAGATGGGCGGCGGCTCGTATACCTATCTGACACTTCCTGGTGCGCGCGAAATTCAGCCTGGGCACTCCTCGCCGCGCGGTAGGGTGGGTGTCTGACCCACCTTCTTGTCGTGTGATGTAGACCAGGTCGCGGCGGGGACGGTGGACATGCGCTACGTTGACTTGGCGGTCGCGACTGTCCTGCGTACGAAGTTTGCGCTGGGTCTATTTGAGAGTGCGTGCTACGGAGGTCTGTCTCTGCGGGCTTGCTGATGTTTATTGGGGCTTCCGCCGTATACAGACCCATACCCGTATGAAGACTACCTCTCGATGCTCCGCACCCCGGCGACCCGTGAGTTGTTGCACCAGATGGAACAAGAGCAAATCGTCTTGCTGCAGAACAATAACAGCACGCTTCCGTTGAGCAAGAATATCGGCTCCATCGCGCTCATCGGCCCTCAAGTCAATCGTGTCACAGTACGTCAATGCGCCTTCCCGGAGATAATCTGTTGATACCGGTCCCTGCACATCGCATAGCTCGGCGACTACGTCTTCCACAACGCGACACTCAACTGCCTTACGCCGCTCCAAGGCTTCACGGAATTGCTTGCGAGCACATATGTGCGGATCAACTTTGCGCAAGGCTGCGAGCTCTGGTCGAACGACGAGTCGCAGATCCCCGCCGCGGTCGCTGCGGCAGAGGCGTCCGACGCGGCGATCGTCATGGTCGGCACGTGGAGCCTCGACCAGACGCTCCTTTGGGAGCCTGGCACGAACGCGACGACTGGCGAGCACGTCGATCTGAGCAGCCTGGCGCTCGTTGGCGCACAACTGAGCCTCGTTCAGGCCGTCCAGGCCGTGGGCAAGCCGACGATCGTCATATTCGTCAGTGGGAAACCTGTCGCGGAGCCGTGGATCCAGGACAGTGAGCACCGTGCTTGCAAGGCCTCGCATTAGAGTCCGCCTGACGCGCGAGGCAGATGCGGATGCGGTTGTACAGCAGTTCTACTATGGCGAGCTCGGTGGCCTCGCCATTGCGGAGATCATCTTTGGCGATGCTAATCCATCGGGTGCGTGACACCACTCACGAACGTCGCGTGGGCACTGGCAACTAATGTTATGACGGCGGCGTTGAGGAAAACTCCCGGTATCCTTCCCGCACAGTGTCGGGACAACTCCTGCATTCTACAACTATCTCAAAGGCGGCAGACCTATTGATCCCGGCTATGTCGCCCCTAATGGAACACTCGTCTTCGGGCATCAGGTGCGTGAGGTCACTCTCGGAGGCGCGGCTGCGATTAGAAACATGGAATAATCTTCCCATAGTATGTCCTAGATACGCCCGTGCCAATGTGGAGTTTCGGGCATGGGCTGAGCTATACGACCTTCAACTAGTGAGTGAATGTGCGTTTCAGCGTCGCGCCCGCTAAGGCTTCGAGAACACGCACGATAGCACGAACCTTCTTGTGTATCCGAGCACCATCGGAGCTAACGATGATTTCAACGTCACCGTGACCGTGCACAATACAGGAACAGTAGACGGAAAAGAAGTCGTCCAGGCAAGCCTCGTTGCATCTGTGCGGTGACCATGCGCGCTTATCCTCATTGTTTTAGATCTACCTGACCGATGTTGTGAGCTCCGTGGTGACGCCGAACCAGTTCCTCGCAGGGTTCCAGAAAGTGTTCATCCCGTACGTCACCCTCGGTGGTTCGGTGATGCCACGCGTAGACACTGATACCTGTCTTGTGGTGGGCGTCAGTGCGGGCGGCTCCGAGACCGTCACGATCCAAATCAATTCCACGCAGCTGGCGCTCTGGTCGCTCGACAACACGTGGGTTGTCGAGCCCGGTGATTTTGCTGTCAAAGTCGGGACGAGCGACACGACGTACCTAAACGCAACAATGACTGTTCAATGATGGGCGTACGCCGACTGTGAGAGGGCGCCAGGGTATCGTGGGCTTCATTGTTGATGTTACCCAGTAAATGGCGTAACTTGCGAGGGCACGGTGATGTCTTAATGTGATCAACAAACCACACATTCATTACAGTTATACTTAACAGATCACTGATGAGGCAATGCACATGAAGTTGTGCACAGACTGATTCACGTGAGAGCCAATACATGTAGATGAACAGGTGGGGAATGCACTGTACGAATAGATCAAATCGAGTCACAAGGTTCATCATGTTGTTACACAGCAGATACGACAGACGGTGACGTTGACCCGACCCATTCGATCGTACGGGAACTGATGGGCGGACGGTCTTTCTGGAAGAAAGGGAAAAGGCTAATAACGAGTAGCCCGCAGACGGTAAGCCAGCCGAGCCAGGCAAAGGCCGTCATGGCGGCCAAAACACGGCATGCAGCAAAGTTGTAGCAGAACGACAGATTTGGCCAGATGCTCTGTTCGTATCAATGTTGGGGTTATACGAGCACAGACATTTACTGTCTCACGTACAGTTGCTATGCCCGCTCCTATCAGCCACAACAACCACAGCGCCGCAAGTGCGATTGTTTCGGTCACTGCGGGAGAGACTTCAGAGAACAGATTGACACGGAGCGCGGACATAAAATCCGGCTTAAAGCTATAAGCGATGATGAGCAGGCGAAACAGGGACCGGGATATTTGACTTGCATGAATGGAGCAAAGCCAAACGCCAACAGAGAACAAACCAGCAATTCTGCGACTACGGGATCTGTTGGTGGCATGTAAGAACAATACACAGTCATCTTTTTGGGCGGCAAAAGGAGCTTGCCATAGAAATCCGCGCCGTGATTCAAGGGATCGCCTTTCGGGAGATGCAGTGTATAGTTGAGTCGGGTAATAGTCAACCCGAACACTACTACGGAGAAGAACCACTGTGGGTTGACGTTAGCAGTGACAATACACTGGATTGCACCGCCGTTCATAAGACAATCAGTGCATACCAGAATACAATACAACGGTAGTCTAACCGAAGCCATCTTTACCGTGATCCACACGATATGAAATGGAATAGAAAAACTCGAGGCTGAGTGAGGGGAAGTCACAAAACAAAAGACAGGGATGACGACGCGTTCCAGACACAAACCATTGATAGGGCTCGAGCTGTTTATTGTGCTTCTCGGTACCTACAGCAATGGTTGCCATGGACCCCGAGTCGTGCGCGCTTCCGCAGCGATGCATAGCGCATTGGAGGTGACCTGGCCAGGAAGTTCGAGGGGCAACTCCTCAGATCGAGGGAGCAGAGTTGTCATGAAATGCCTCCGATAGTATGAGTGCGCATGATAATGATGATCGCGAGTTGAACTTGCTCAAATCGTCGCAACGGCCGGGGACCATGTTGATTGGCTCCGGACTAACCAGATCACGTGCACCAAGTGGGAGTCGCGCCTTGGTTTTCTATCCGCCGGTGATTTTACCTACCTCTATTGAGTGCCAAATCGTGCTAATGGGGAATCATCTCCAGCAGGTGCTCCACCGAGCACAATTGACCACGGTGGCATGCGTCGCTCTCGTGTCTGATTTCGCGCTTGATTTGCTTGGCTGACTTAACGCGTCCTGCAACCAACGGGCCTGTAGTCAATACATCTCGGTCGATGGCCGCAGGTTGGCGTTTTATGCACCACATATCTTGCGATGTTAACAGTTGCTACCGCTGTAGATGATGTGTTGTTACCGGTGTTATTGGTACGATGCAGTACCGATGCTGACGCTACGCGTGCCGTGGCTGGCAGTACATATTCGAGGCTCATATGAGACTTTCGATAACCCATCGGCCACACACAGCTATCTCTTGCGATGGTGGATAGCTATGCTTACAGCTCCCAGCGACCCAGCACATTGGGACATCGGCTGAATGTCGGAGCGCCTTACTATTTCTTGCATCTCCCTACGTCTGGGCTGAAACTTACCTTCTGCGACAAGCCTACCTCGTCTGAGGGGTATGACAACACCGTCCGCCTCATCGAGGCCTTTCATCGTAACAAGCTGCGGCAGAAGAAAGCGCAGCGCCTCAATATCACCTCAATTATCCTGTCGTGATTACCAGCTCAATTGTCTCTTCTGGTTAGGTGCTGACAATCGATCAGTGAGATAGCTCATGTATCTGACGAGCCCCTGGAGCCTCATCATATGCTCCTGAAACTGACCATCCCCACGCCGACGGGACTCGCTCGAGCCATCACAGCACATGTCTACTACTCGGGTTCTCTACCAGACGCGATGTACGACACGGCGATTGTCAGCTGGAAAGAAGCAGTGGAGCTCGCGGAACATGAGATCTGGGCAACACGCCAGGCATTAATTTTGCGAAAGGACGTGATTGGTATGTGCGATGATCGGTTGTTGATAACGGTTCAGTGACGTTCTCGTTCAGGACAGTATATGTTCCACAGAGCTTGAGTACCGGGTTCGTGGCAATAATGACGTCATGATTAATTACATTGGCTATAGCTTAATGTCACTGGGTCCTACTCATATCCAAATCGTGTGCGTGATACAGTCTCTGAGTAAGCTTCCGCGTTCGCAGGATTTCGCAATCCGCGATGCCCCTAACAGTGAGTGGTCGCCTTACGTAAATTGTTTCTTCCTAATGCTCAATCCCCCTGAGCTTGTGCTTGTGCTCACCCTTTGCCTGTCGCATGCAGTGACATGTTCTCCGTCAAGAATACGTCCGCTCTTTCGCCGACACCGCGTAACCGTCGCGAGCCTCACTGCTCGGCTCTCCCACTGCGTGACATGCTTCCCGCACGAGATTGCTTACCGGGAAAAATCGCGGCTAACACATGACACTCACCGCTTGCAGACACCACGATGCATTGAGGTTGAACGACAGGCGGCAGCCGTCGATCGGGCAATCCTTCCTTCGTGACTCGGCTGTCCCGGCCCAACCACGAATCAGGCCTGTATGGCATAGCTCTGTGTCCTCTCCGCAATCATGACATGGCCGTTAGTTGCAGGCCACCACGATCGAAGCCCGGCAGTGTGCATATAGCGGACCATAGCCGGCCTTCTTGACCTTCCCCGCCTGTCCGGGCTTCGGGTCAGCCGCATCCTTGAGTCCAACGTGGTGTCCGCGGGGGGTGTGCGTACAACAGCGAACGCGACCAAATTTCTCAACGCTCCGACACTCCATTGACGGCTCCAATTGAAGTGTCGGTCCCGGGGCTCCACTAGTGTGTTTGCTCCGCATGGGGTGGCGCACGCCAGAACGCTGCCGACCTGCGCTATCGTGAATTATAAATAGCAGAGTCGCCATTAGCATGACCCGAGGCCGAGACGACGGACGGTGGTCTGGCGGCGTGGCCCTGAGAGCGCGAGATGCGCTTGCCAAAATGGGCGTTCGCGCGCTGTCCATTCCCGCCGTCCAATCTGCGTGGCGCGCACGCCGGCGGCCCTGCACGATTCGAGGCCTGGCATTGGCGCGAGAAAGACAAATGCACCCGGGGGCGTGCATGTGTCCAGGTACCGATCCGCCGCGTACGCGCAGGCGTGCGTTCCTGTGGCGCCATCATATTTCCTTGGAGAGTCATCGAGCCGGGATACGAGGTCAGCGCAGCGCACGCCATGCGGTCCTGCCATGAGGTCGGGGCTGCTGCTCACGCACTGACAGTCGTCGCAGGCGTGCATTTCCGATTATGTCGTGCGCACGCCCACTTCCGCATTCGGCTTCCGAGCCAGGAACATACTAGTACTAGCCGCTGGCACACTAATCGAATACTCCATGCGCACAAAAATCATTGTCTAGCGGAGGGAACGATTTGCAATACATCCACATCATTATTCACTCGGATTACTCAGTTTTCACTTGCTTTTTGTTGTCCACCCTTTGTTTTCCGTCGATTATTCTTGTCTTGCCGCTGGTAATGAATTACGGGCGCCTATCTCGCCGTTGCTATGTTTCGTGTCTATTGTCCTTGTTGGTCCAGGTCACACAACTCATTATCCCCATTCTGCCGAGGCCATTGTGTTTAGAGTGCCGTACCCTGGCCTGGGATCCTCGCCGGCCTGACACGTTCGTGTCAAGGATGCAAGCCCCTCAGGGGAAATACAAGGAGAGTCGTATGTAGACTGATAAGGAGACGTAGGCTCCCGTACACCTAGCACCCGACTACTTGCCTGTGGCACTTCATTTCGTTTCGTTTCACTCCATCCTATTCCTTTCTCGTCCTTCCGTCGCGCACCGCCCTGTACATTATGATCCCGCGCCTCGGATCGCTCTCGACCTCGGCGCGCAGCGCGCACCGCCTCAACATCGCGCCGCCCTACTACTACGTCGAGCTGCCAAAGACGGGCCTCAAGCTGGTCATCTGCGACAAGCCCGCGTCCGGCGCGGGATACAAGAACGTGATCGAGCTCATGGACAAGTTCGCCGCGGCGCAGCTGCGCTCGCGCAAGGCGCGGCGGTTCACGTACGCCGCGGCGATCCTCTCGTGCGTCGTGCAGCTCCCCCTCGCCCGCGGTTCTGGTTCTGGCTGACAGGCGGCGCGCGCCGCAGGGAGATCGCGCACGTCTCGGAGACGCCGCTGGAGCCCAGCCACATGCTGGTCAAGCTGGTCCTGGCAGAGGAGTCGAGTATCCCGCAGGCCATCAGCGCGCACGTGTACCTCACGGGCGCCGTACCGAGCGCGGCGTATGACACCGCGTCCATCTATTGGAACGACGTCGAGGAAATTGCGGAGCACGAGATCTGGGCCATGCGCGAGGCCTCCGAGCTGGCCGAGAGCACCAGAGGTGGGTGTCCGTCTGCGGAGAATATGTGTGACTGACTGGGTCGGTTGTGAAGGCTGAGGACTCATGCAATCACGCACCTACCATGAAGCCTGATTCTTGGTACGTCCGTCAACAGAAGGTGTCCAGCCAGTTGACTGATATTCTGATGGGCACCGCGATACGCTGCGCAACAGCATCGGACAGGTTCTGGTGCGAGATCAACAGGGTGAAGAGTAGGCGTTCATCTGCCAAACTAGCGCAGGGCAACGGACCCCAGAGCTTGAGCAGTATCATGATGTGTAATGGTTACCTCAGTGAGGGCGTACGATGGCGGCGGAACCCCGACGAAAGCAGTAAAACCCTGGAGGATTACCGAGTTGGGCCTACGATGTATACAATATCATTGTTATGTAGCATATAGCTTTCCGATTGTTGTATCACATGTGATGATAATTACCTCTGTTGACTAATAACTGTCGGTAATGGAACAGGAAATGAAGCGAGCCTCCGATGAGACATAACAAGCGATGACAGATAATAACAGCAACTTGGAGGGGACATAACATTGCTACTACTGCCTCTGCGCGCGCGATCATCGTCCGTTTGAGGCAGGAATCGACGTTGATGACCAAGACCAATGGCAACAGCGCAGTCGACATCACGTCGAGCCGATTTGGAGGGACAAGGGAGGACCATGGTAGGGGAATGGAAAGGGCAGGTGGGGACAGAGGGCGAGTGGTCGTCGGGATAGGCGAGGACAATCTTCGCGGGAGTCGATCTGCCAAGCTGTTGGGCGTGTTAGGCTCCCCCGATCGCCCGAGATCGTCGTCACACAGACATCCACAACGAGGAGTCCGAGATTCAAGCTGAAGTTGAAACGGAATGAGGACTTGGACGCGGTCGGTGGCCCGCACACGCGGCGGGATTTGGCGGGACTCTGGCTGCGCTGGAAAATTCGGCCATGTCCGAGCGCCCGCTGTCCTGTTGTTGGACGCTGGGTGTCAGCGGCAGGAGAAAGAAGACAGGCTGCCCATATGCTTCATCGTCGGTCATCCGCCGCTCGAATTTAATTTGCGACGGTGCCCTCGGCTGTATATGGCGTCTATTCTACGGCGATGACTCGTCCGTCACTTCATCGGACCCTCCAGGTCCCCGTGATTCCTGCACCAAACAAGCATGTCTTCCTCCGGCCTCAGAATGAGTGAGCCTCATCCGTAGACCGGTTCTACAATAGGTCTCTATTGCCGCACAGGGCTCGGGGCACGATGACAAAGGATCCGAGGTTATCTGATTCAGGGATGCCCCCTAGGTACCAAGTCCATGGGCTCACGCTCGCACAACGTCAGGTGAGGCTCGCCCTTCGTCAATTACATGGGCTAGGACAGGGTCTTCGTCTGCGTTGTACGGCACGACGACCATAGTTTGATCCTGTGGCAACGGAATGAAGACAGAAGCCTCCCACCGGGCCTTCTTTGCTTTCCGCCGCGGATGGCACCTCTTCGCGGCCGTCCTATGTACAGACTACTCCTAAGCGTGCGGCGAATCTCTTCCAATCTCGCCCAATGGCTACGAGCCTTCCCAGTCCCTGCCCCATCCAACCTTACAGATCCCGGACCGGCCCTCCATACGCCTGTCCCCTAAGCTCCCCACTACGCCCTGTCTCTCGCCGCGCACGAATCTCATCAGAGGCACACCGCTTCTGCCTACGCATCCGCCGCTCGCCACACCTGGCGGGTGCCTCGCGTGCGTGAGTGTCGACACATCAAACAAAGATGGGTGACGTGCCGGGTCCCCGTGGGCTGACCGAGCCCTACGGTTCCGTCTGCAGTGCGCTCGCTCTCGCGCCCATCCATGGCCTTGATGCCCACGCGTGACCGGCGGCCCACCACTATCTGCAACCACAGACCCTGCAGACCCTGCACATCCGACCACAGCGCGCGCCCACTACGGCAAATCCACCTGTTCGCCGATCTGCCCCTCGCCGGCTAGGCATGATCCATAATATGCAGATGCGCGCGCCCGCCCACCCCGGGCGATGCAGCGCTGCATCTGGATCTTCGAGAACGGCAGATGAATCAGCCCGCCTGCGCGCCTGCGCGTGGCACTGCCGCCCGCACAGGCGCGCGCACGCTGCCTTCTCCAGCCCAGCCCAGCGCCGCATCAGAATTTCACACTCCCCACTGTCGGAGAAGGCCCGCGCGCCGCATGTGCGATCGCCCGTGCTCAGCGGAGCAGAAATACTTTGGGATTCCGTAAGCGTCTAGTCCGCGAGGCCTGCCGCGGACGCACAGGCGAGAAGGGGGATCTCGCGCGAGATGGGGTCAATCTGGGGCGGGTGATTGGCCGTCCGCGCAACGCAGGTCGCAATCTAGACGCCGGGAGGCGCTTCTGGCGCACGATGGCCGCCCAGCACGGCGGCCCATGACACTCTGCGTGTGATGACGGGCTCTGGAAGAGGGCATGCACGCGCACAAACCTTGCGCGGGCGTCCGTGGTTATGGCTGCACACTGCATTTTTGCGGATGCCAGCTGTCGGGCTAGCGGACGGGAGAGCGGCGATGGCGCAGGCAACGGCCGACCATCTGTCCTGATATGCACCGACACGCACGCACATGCATCAGACGTCTGCCGCGAAAATCGTGGGTGGGGGCATGAGTAGATCGTGTTCATTGGCTACATATAGTCTGAGTACAGCTACAGCGGGTATGGGTAAACGTATTACGCGGGGGCATAGCAGATGTGCGGCGCAGGGTCGCAGTGGGTCATGACATATTACAGAGAGAGCGCAGTACACGACAATTCGAGACAATCAGGGCTGCGATAGCCAAACTGTCGGCGAGAATGAATACATTCCTTCGTTTGAATGATCATCACGGACAAATCAGGTCCATATCACATCGTTCAACATAACATCACTTCACAAAGCCAGCGGTCGCCACATACGGCACTCGAGCGTGGATGGGGGGCGCGCCACCGACAGAGCCTGCTCGAGCGCGAACTCTAGCTCTAGTATGGCCGTGCGCTGTGCCGCTCGGCACTCCTCGCCGTGGGCGGCGCGTACTCCGTAAAGGCCGGCCGCAGCGCGGTCGAGATGGGCGTCGCGCAGTCGCAGCCCGGGACGTTGCACGAGCTCGCGCGCGGGCGGGTGCGCTCCTCGCGGAAGCGCGGGACGGGCGAGCTGTTCGCGCGCAGCCGGCACCGCTCGCGCTCGTCGCGCACGCTCGACTCGGGCACGCCGAAGTCCGCGTCGCCCGCCTCGCTCTTCGCGCGCGCGGACGGCGGGGGGCTGTACGGGTACGCCCGGCGCTCGTGCTCGTGCTCGTGCTCGTGCTGCCGGTCGTAGTCGTACGTGTACCCATAGGTGTACTCGGGACCCGGGTAGGGGCGTCCGCGCGGATCGGCGTGATATTGCGCGGGGGCGTATGGATCGGGATAGCCCGCGGTGGGGTGGTGTGGCGGCTCGGGGGAGCGGGACGGCGATGCGGACATGCCCGGGGGAGACGGCGACTCTGGCATCATGCGTGCGACGGCGTCGCGGCGGCGTGCCGTGAGGTGGTTGCGGTAGTGCCGGCGCATGTTTGAGTTCACGTTGAATCTGCGGTTGCACCCGGGGTAGCGGCACACAAACGCTGCGGCGCGAACAAATAGAAGACCCAAAATACAAAAAGACGAAGCGCGCGATCAGATGCGAGGAGAGCGCGGATTGACGTGGAAATCACGTACGTTTTGCGCCCGTGTGCGTATTCACGTGGATGTTCAGGCTGCTCGGGCGGTTGAACCGCTTGTTGCAGTGTGGGCAGCGGTGTCGCTTCTCCTCCGAGCCCGGCACGCTGTCCGCCTCATCAGGCTGTTGCATGCTGGAAACACCTGCCGGCGTCGTGGGGACGGACAGATACACGTTGGGTGGGAACGCAAGGCGACGCTGTTCATCACCATTCTCATAGTGGCTGAGTTCTGGAGATCGTGCGACATCCATCGCAGACCCTGCCTCGTGTGGTGACATCATGACGCGGAATGCTGGACGCGGCTTAGTGATTGCGGCCATGGCAGCGTCGCCGTTCAGCCGTGGGTACTCAAAGGCACTGCTGTGGGGCAGCCGTGGGTGCTCGCTGCTGCCTGCAATCGGCGGGATATTCTGGAGAATGGACAGTCAGCGGGTTCGGACGGAGCATATTAGTGAGCAGGGGGCGGCTACCTGCGGCGGCGCGTAAGGCGGCGAACGGTCAGATTCTCGGATGCCGTGTGTACGCGGATCGCGCTCGGCATATCCATCTGAAAATCGCGCAGCAGGGCGCATATCGGGCGAAGTCACACTAGGGGAGGGCGTGGGGTATGCCGTGGGACGGTGCGGCCTGGTTAGCGCGACAGGACTGCGGGCGGCACTGCGAGGATATCCCGGAGCGCCATGGTCTATGGTACGGGAGGCGTTTTCCTTGATAGCGGGGGCAGATCAGCTACGGCAGATGAACCGTGGCGCACTCGGTCACATACCGGGCTGCTATGGGTCGAGCTAGGCGCAAAGGGCGCTGGTGGGCTGGTTCTGTAGGACGAGGGCGAGTACGGGTGCGTTCCCGGCGGAGGGTTGGTCAGCAGATGCTCTGATGCAAGACGCGGTGAGTGTGCGCCACGGGAGCGCGACGAAGGGTATTATGTGCGCACCTGGGAAGAGCTCGTTGATGCTGGGGAGGGAGACATGTGCGGTGGGCGAGCGAGGCGGCGACATGGCGGGAGGAGGGCGGCGGTGCGAGTTGGTAGAGAGGGGGGCGGTGAGGAGGAGGGCAGGAGGGCTTTATAGTGGGAGGAGAGGAGACACAGCCGCCCGCCGTAACCGGATTCTGCGAATATCGAGATTTGCAAATCGAACAAGGCTTCGAGAGATCGCAAGCCGAGAATGGCAATCGGGGGTCACCACCCGATGCCGTCACCCGGAACGCCTGTGACCCGAAGAGGGCGGCCATCAAAGAAACCTTGTACACACAGACATCGTGCACGCCCGTGTCACAGCGCGTTATGTCCCTGCCGCCCTCCTCCCCGCCCATCATGGCCCTTCCCGGCTCCCGGCCTCTATACATAGCCCTCCCAGACCCCCCGCGTCCAAATCCAGCCACCACACAGCAGGTCCCCGTCCGACTGTGGTCCGCGCCCGCATCACATCACCACGCACCGTGCCCACAGACGCACTCGCAGCGTCCTCGCCCGTGCGTGCTGCCCACCTGCTTATTCGCCGCGCAGGGCGCAGCCGAGAATGCGCCCAGCAAGATAGATGGTCCCGGCCTGAGACTCGCTCGTGCGGGCGGCTCGCCGGCCTCTGGGATGCCCCATTCATCGCGACGGAGAATCAGGACACGCCCCCCAGCGTGACGCGGATTTGCAGCGTGCTCGACCACGCCTGGCGATCCACGCCGCGAGGGGCAGCCCAGACTACCTACGGTGATCCATCGGCGACGCCCTGAGCTATGGGGCACACGCGGCCGGGGACGCCGAGCAGCGGCGCTTGCAGTGTGGAAGGATGCACGCCAAACCCGCGGGGACAAACACAGAAGTAGGATTGTCGCGATCGGCGCTTTCCATATATGCATGTAATTCAGCCCCCGAGGACACCGGTAATCGGGTCCAATAGCGACCCAGATGGAGATGCCTCCGCGAACATATATAAGACCTTCCAGATCGGGAAAGGAGATCAGGCTTCCAGAAAATCCCCAGTGCCGTGCCTACCACGGTAACGCGTCTGTGGCTGCAGTGGCAGCGCATGGACGCCGGCCGCGCGATGGCCGTCCTCTGCCCCTCCAGCCTGCTCTTCGCACTCATTTCGCTCCATCGTATTGAAATCCCACTCGTCCACACGCACCTCGCCCTCCTCTGCCGAAACCTTACCGCGAGCGCCCACTCTAGCAGCCCCCAGGCGCCCAGCCGCACCCTGCCTCACTGCACGCTTCCCTCGCTATGCAGTTATCGCGCTGATCAGCGTGGTTCCGCGGACACCTTCTCGGTCCTAGATGGGAACGCCCCGTGCGTTGTCACACTGCTACACATCGGGGTCAGCGTAGATACGGCCCGCGAATCTCAGGCGGTCGGTCGATACATCCACTGACCGTCACCGCCGCGTCGCGAGAGGACACCGCCCGCGCATATCCCCGCACGGATCGGACGGTATGCGGATATTGGGAAAGCGATAGAGCAGATATCTGAATTCAATTAGCGGCGTGCCTCGTGCTTCCAAGGCCTGTCGTCCGGCGTCTTGGATGTCGTCTGCGAAGCCGGTGGCGCACGATCTGCGCAGGCGAGGCATTTACACGGGGAACTGGGCAAAAAGCGAGCCTCGCAGCTGCGCGGGTGTGTGGTCTGGGGCGAGTGACCACCGCGGGACGATCAGCTGCCCGCAGCCTCATGGCCTCTGCGGGCAATCCACCACCGCAAATCGCAAATCCCAGGTGCAAGCCGCACTGTCCCACGCTCGCGCACATGGGTTTGCATCCGCGCGCGCACGTGACCCGCGTCACTTCCGGTCTTCACATGAAGACCGCACCATCGAGGGCGAGATTGTCGAGGCTGATCTTGATCTTTTGAGATCCCATACGAGCCCACACCACCATCACCACCACCACGCCAGCCCACGTCCGCCGTTCGTATCTTCCTTCTGCACTAGCACCCGACTACAACAGCCCCCAGCCTGCCCACTCCCACACTCCCAGCCACCATGTATTTCCAGATATCCCCCGCGGGCGTCCCTGTCTTGATGGATATGCCAGATAGCACCGCCGACGACGTAACCCGCCGCTGGGTGCACCCTGCTCGCCAAGTACGTGTGCATCGACGGATACGTACGCACTGTGGATCCTGCGCCGAACACCCCCCTGCCGTGGACACGCCGCCGCAAAAGACAGTGCAGATGCCCTCTGCGCCCGCCTCGCCTGGGCACGACCGCCTTCTCGGCCTGCTCGTGCAGCGCATCGGCATGGGTGGCGGTAGCCTTCTCGAAGCCGGGCACCCCCTGCCCGCACTTCTCGTCGGCTCGGAGCTTATTCAATACGATGCGCCCGGCCTATTGTCATCACGCAGCACGCGAGCAGCAGCAGCATCTCCAGCTATTTCTGCTGATCCGCCCATAATGGAAGCTGCCTTCCCCGGGCCAGGCCGGCAGGCGCATTGCCTCTTCGCGTGCCCGCATTGGCCGTCGGAGCAGCCCCAGCGACGTATCACGCCCGAGGCACCGATGCGGCAAGCGGGGTTGATTTCGAGGCACGTTTTCGTCATAGCCCATTTTGACTTCATCTGCATCTCTCATTGTCAAGACCGCATCTGATGCCTGTCCACCCCGTTAAATATATGGCTCTGCGCGAGGCGGTGACACGCCGCCGCTCGCGCCTTCGATTACCCACGGCGGAAGCTGCGATCGCACACGTCCTTGCACAGGGATCGCACCTGCCGTGGCTAGGTTCAGGCGCCCACCTGTCCTCCCCCTGCGCGGAGTCTTATGCCTTCTCCTTCGCCACCGGAGCACCTCTCATCTGTGCTGTCGCTGTCGCGGGAACGCGATACGGCATATCGCAATGTCATATGATGCCGCTGGGTCTGCGAGAACACTAGATGTACTTCTTTTAGTGGCGAGTGGGAATAAGATTCACAAGGCGAGATTGGCCACAAAGAGGTAGAGCCTGGCTGCGCGTGAGCACATGCATGCAAACTCTAATGCGCTTCGTGACGCCTGCCAGGACGTTTATGTCCCTTTGTGCGCCGCATATGAGGGACGGATCGCACATAGGTCCAGACACGGCGCAACGTGTATCGAGACACAGATGCCCGGCACTTGCATCTCGGGGACTCTACACGGCCGCAATCGGTCGGACGGGCGCCCTCCGCTTGCGCGTCATCAACGACTTCTCCCCATGCCCAGCATCCAGGTGCTTCATCACGCCGAGCGTATCTACGAACTCTCCTTGCTATTCAATTCATTCAAGTACTCGCACCGTGGGGTCGGCGCTCGCGCTCGCACTATTCCTGGTGGCGCCGGCGCCAGCGCTGGCGCATACGATCATCGCCCATTCTCGGCGGAGATGCCCGGGGCCCATTGACTCCCCGCGGGCTCCGCAGGCTACTCAGCCCATCGCGACACGCTGCAGCACGGGCGGGCTTCAGGCGGAGATGCACCTCGTGTGCCCCTGCATTCCCATCGCCCCGGCTTCGCGGCGCCTCGGATAAGTGTAAGGCTAGCGTGCTTCTGCGCGCCCGGCAGGAGAAGCCCCAGATGTGGACCCACAGTGTGCAGCACAGACCACAGGGGATGCGGGTCTTTCGTCTGCCCGAGCGCTGGGCGTGGGCGATCAGCGGCAGCGGCGAGTTGGAGGATGCATGGACGTGCATGGGCATGAGGATCGAGGCTTGTCCGTGCTGTGTGGAGCGCCACCCGCTTGCGCGCCGAATATCGCACGTCCAACGTCCAACGTCGTCGGTGGATTTTGAGTGTCCAATGCCGCAGCCGTGTCAGTCGTGTGTGACAGCGGGAATCGGTGGATACTGGGCAATTCATTCCGGGAACGTCGGTGTTCCGGCACAGGCGCATCATTTTGTGCTTTCCTGCGTAGTCGGTAAATCCACACGGTCGGCAACCATCAGTGTCGTTGTCAAATGTATGTTGTCGACAAATTCCTGGTGCCGCGACGATTCTGATCTTCACTAGCGTCCTCTAGAGGTCCCGAACCCGCCCGGTGAGCATGTCGGACCTATGCCGTTATAACAATACTCACCCGGTGTTATTTTCTATATTGAAACGCGTCAATTGATATCTAGGTCGTTGAACGACCGGCGTCCTGCAGGAGTACGCCGTCCTACGAGTCTTTGAAGTGGTCTGGAGATTCAAAATGATTTCATATGAGCCACTGATTTTGTTGCGGTTCACTCTCTTGTACATCAGTGCGGGTGATTGCCAGGCGAAAATCGCCTGTAGTGGTCCTGTGGTTCAATCTTTGTGGCTGTTGGTCCCGTGCGGCCTCCCGTGTGTGGAGGAAGAGGAATGTAAAATGTGGATAAGAAGACAGATTGAGCACCCGCAAGGTGATCCGACAACGCGTCGGACAATGACGTGAGGCGTTCAAGTTGCATTGACCGGTACGACATGAATGGAAAAGGATCATACCCCTGTGCTTCGGTATGTGACATAAGCAAGGTTGGATCCTACCGCTACAAAGCTGGGGATGAGGTGTTGCGTTGGACGGCGAGAGTCGTGGGATTGTCATGGAGACCCCGGCTGTATTACAGCGTCGGAAGCCCGGTGTAATGCAATTATAGCCTCTTCAAACCCCTGTTCCTACGTCCTTCTTGGCCTGGTCCAGTCGTCTTCTGCCACTTCTTCGCGGAGCAAGGCCGCACTGGCTATGCGAACTCTCCCATTATGAGAGCAGCTTGTCAGATCATGGTGCTATCGATATCGTTGACGGTCTGGTCACTGAGAGAATTCGATTGCAGTGCAATAGAACGAAGACGTAGACCAAGCGAGGCGCGGACCAGCCGCACACTGCGTTAACATTGCGAAAATTCAAGCCCCGACTGCCAGGCTGAGGCTGATGGTGGGGGTCGAGATCAGCGTGAAGATCGATCGCATTGACGCCTAATAGTACCTACGCGGTAGTGGGCGGCACCGATATGCCACGGTCACGCCCCCCTTGCCTCCAGGCTCCTCCCTGTTCATTATGCAATGTGCAGTGGCCTAACCGTACAGCTCGGCAGCGGTGTGAACATATGATTATATATTTAAAGTATTTGTCAACGTGAGTCAGCGGTACGAATCGGTTTGCCGTGTCCCTGTACTCGATTTGTCCTGTCCTTGTGCTCGCTGACATATTTGTGGCAGGATCTGACACGACGGCTGAACACCATACATTAAACCAATTCGGGCATGTACCTTGGTCTGTTTGCCTCGTGTTGCTCGCTTGGTCGTGACTCTTTCGTTCAGGCCAGACGCTCAGGTCAGTCTATGTATGGGCTCCTGCTCCTCAGACCTCTGAGTCGTTATCTCTGGGCGCTCCAGGCATGCGATACCTCGTTTTCTATTGCAGACTGTCGCACGATGCTCTTTGTTGACATCGCCACTACCCTGTCCCCACTTCGACGAACGAAGCAGCGGACCATGTGAGGCATATTGGCGCCGAACCGTATGGGATAGCATACTCCGTTCCCGTGGACTGGTGTCAATTACTCTAAGCAGCTCTTCGTCACGTCCCGTGGGCTTCGTGGCTTAGCCGGCACTAGCAAACCGTATCTCTTGAAGTAATGACAAGGTTTTGATCGGGCATCGTCGACTCTTTTCCCCCTTTGACTATCCTCCACATTATCGTCATTCACGCAGCAGAACCTACTCTGACACCCGCGTATTTGACTGCCGCATTCGCAGTTCATCTGCCCACGATCTTCACTTGTTCGGGATACTTTCGCCGACCCTCGCCGCACCCCTCGCCTTCGATGGCTTTGCAAGGATCAATTTCATGGTCGGCTTAAGCCCTCGCTCGCGTCGGTTATTCAACCATGGGCCCGTTTTCCCGCCCACGTATTGAGATGGATACAAAGCTGACAGCAGCACCTCGGCGCTCTTTGATGCATGTCCTCGTTTAGCAACGTGGCTGCGCCATTCCCAGACTCCCGAACACGTCCTAGGCGTCTTCTTCCTTTCCTTTCTCGCATATCTCGTGGGCGCTGTCTACTAGACGGGGACACCCGGTCCGTCTTCTGTTCGAGTGCTGTTATTTGTCAGATGGAGTTGCTGAAGATGCTGATTGGTGATGCGTATCTTGATCTAGAGATGCTCTCTAGTGGCAATGCGCAGATACAAGTATATATTAGTCCTACTCCACTCACCGGTCTCTGTTCGCACCCGTCTTTCAAATCCGTTCAAACAGAAGCCTCCGCGAACATAATGCTTCAAAGGACTCATGCCGACAACGCTTTGCCACCTATCCGCGATGTGTTCCCTGGTCAGTGTTAATTACTGCTGTGCTCACTCAACGCTGACCAATTATCAGAGTATTTTCCGATGGACACGAGGGCTGTGGGCTCACAGGATTGTCTTGGAAGTTCTGCGACAAGTCCGGAGCTCGTGGTAATTGCTTCTTTCTGTAAGGCGCGATAATTTGACTCATAGACCGACTTGGTGTAGAATCGCTTACCAGCCTTAACACACTCGCCTCTTGGCCACCGCGCCCACGACTCTGCAATCGCACTAACTCACGGTAGGACCCAATCGGATCCCAGCGTTACCTCCGGCAACCGCGCAGATGCCCCCATGGCGTGTCGTCCCGTCCATAGCCACGGTCGTCTCGACCCTCACCCTCACTACATGGTTGACGATGACAACGGATCTGCCAACCCTCCAGGCACTCCCTGTTCAGAGGGAGATGCTCCAGACTTCAGCACACCGGACAGTCCCTATCCCAGGGCGTTCCACTCTCCTCCTGCCACCCGGCTACCTCCCCTCCTACCGCTTGTTGGACGAAACAATAGTCGCGATGAAGAGAAGAGGCATATTTGTCCGTATTGCCACAAGCGATTCAACCGGCCTAGCAGCCTAAACATACATATCAACACACATACTGGTGCCACACGTGAGTACCATCGCCTCATTCCCGTTATTGCATGACTCACCTGCGACCTTCCCTACACAGCGTACGAGTGTCCCAAGTGCGGCAGACGTTTCAGTGTCAACTCCAACATGCGCCGTCACTACCGCAACCATGACTCCACCGTGGCTACGCTACCGACATACTCACACATGGCCGCAGACCAGCACTACACGTTTTCAGCGGAGCACACTCAGGGCGCTGCCGCCTACTCGTACCAGAGCAGTGACAGCGATTACGATGACGTCCAGAGCACCAATAGCAGCACTCACCATCCGTACTACTACTCTGAGCTTCACGATCACCAAGGGCCCGCTGTGAGGCGCAGACTACGCGCCGGCTCCGAGTATCAAACACGCGTCGACGCTATGTACCCGCTGGGCCTCCGACCGCGGTCGGCGTCGTGGGATGTCCAAAGCACAATCTCGACAACCCTTCGGCCGGCGACGTACTACACCGCCGGCGGCCGGGTATAAAATAGAAGGTACACGGCTCCTCTCGAGACCGTTCACCGCCAGCGCTGTTTTGGCATGGCAAATTAATTTATTCATCTGAGCTCCGCCGCCTCGACGGTCTTCTGTATCGTGTCGTGTTCACCGACTTGGCTATTATTTATGGGTGACCACTATTTCTTGAGCAGTGTAGCTGAAGACAGTATGCGAACTCGTGTATTTATAGTGCGATTGATGTCGCGCGTTGGAATTACTATGCTATTCGTTCGAATGTGGGTACGAACCCCTATCGCTAGGACAAGAAGCTCTAGAGCCTTTCAACTAAATTTTCAGGCGCAAGATGGACAAGCCGCCCATCCCTCTTGTCGTTCCTATAATGCCTTTCACAGCGGTCAAAGTGCGAGATATCACCACGGTCCTGCAGCATATGATGATGAGTTTTACATATGATTCATCGTCGGATACATGAATACACGGGAGATCACCTCGCGCCCATGATCTCAATCAGCTCGTAGTGATACCGGCTACCGTGAGGTGTTCAGGTGGGGCCCCGCTCGCGTGATGTATGAAGGCGGCCTCCCTCGAGCGGATACAGAACTGGATTTTGTTTTTTAAAAGGCGGCCTCAATGTGCATTTTTGAGGTCTCATATCGAACACAGCACATCTGCGTAATACGGTCAATGTCGTAGTCTGACGGTACGCAGTGTCACAGCTATGAGGGTTGTTTCAGAAACACGTTACGTGCTCTGGGAACAAGAACTTACGAGATCAACATAGGTTCAACGCCGATCATCGGCGCGCCGTACGCCGGCCTCAGCGAACTTCGAACAATCCAGCACATCTGTCATGAACAAAGGCGCAAAACAGCCGTCCTACATCCGACAACATTTGAGAGAACAAGACGTACTGCGGGATGATCTGAGTGATCAAGCAGCTATTGAGCTCCGACTGAGAGGACTCTAAATCGCAGATGTCTCGCATCACGATGAGATGCGATCAGTGGTCCATTTCTCGGAGATCTACTCGAAGCTGACTAGTACTCCGCAATCGGGCTTCGCGAAGAGCTCGAACCCAAGGCCATCGGTGTTCGGTGGGAATTGAGGTTGTGTTAATACTGTAGGTAAGTTAGCTATGGGAGTCGGGACGAGGGTATGCTCACAGTGCTGTGGCTGACATCCTCGGCCATTGGTGCACCTATCTGCGTTCGTAAGGCACGGCTGTGCGAGTGCTTTCCAGAATTCGGTAAGGGTACACAGTGGGTGGCTGATCCGTTCTAATCGTCCCCTACTGCGTAGAAGTCAGCTTTACTAACACATTGCTGAGGAAGGTCCGAAAAAATACGTCACATGTGTCATGCGCCCTCAGGCTGCTCCACACAAGAACACAATTACTGCCCTTTCGGAGCAGGCTCCCTTAGATGTAACATAGCAAGAAACTAATGGCACGTATTAGAAACGTACAAAGCGCGCAGGGTGAGCGTCTCATCGCGCCTATTTTATGTGGTCAAAGTTTCGATGACGCACGTCACTATGGAGAACGAGCGTACGCGCTGTTGGCTTGCTGTTATCCCTTCCACAACATCCACGGCACTCTATGCAATGTACCATCATATATTTTCACGTCGGGTAACCCTCGGGTGGTTCTTGACTCCTGCCGAGTGTTCCGTACGCGATCAGGAGCAAGGTTTGCTTGCTGTGTCCTGTTACCTATCCCCGAGGAGATGGTCAAGCCATCGTGGCTTCCTTGGGAACAATGCGTGAGTGACTTCCGCGAGCATAGGTTCGGACACCGTGATCATTCGAGTAACGCTGACTGCGACTGGAGTTCCGAGTCAGATGGGCCGTCCTAGAACCTCAAGATGGGACGCGAAGACCGCAAATGTATGACGGGTCCATACTGTATGCCAATCAACGTATTTGATCCTAATCATCGGTAGGTAGCAACACCGTGCGCTGTGTACGGTGGAACGGTAGGAAAGGATTGCCCTGAGGACGGAGAGGCTGAATGAGACGATGGGCGGACATGTGCCGCAGTGCGTGAAGAATACAGGTGAATGTCACAAGCAATATATTTAAGTACATCAACTGCTCTGAATGTCACCACTGACAGCTCGTGCCTTGAAATGCCCGGGCGTTCCATTGTGGCAGTCAACGTGAGGTAGCCATCCCGGGAGAGTTGTGCTATTCATACCAACCTCATGCTCGCAGGCTATCAAGTAGATCAAAATAGTCTCATTATTGGCATATGAAGACAGGTATATCGTGATATAATACATGGTGTGGTCAAGCAGACGGCTAATCCAAGAAAATGTTGAAACTACAATGCAGGGGTCACAGTGACAATACCACCAAATCGATTCGCCTTCTTCGTTCATACCATAGATAACAGTCGGTTCAAGTCCCAAATCCGGAGGGAACTATCATCCGAGGAAGACACGATTTTGTCTCCTTGCGGCGAGAACCTTAAGTGGCTGACCTTGTCCGAATGGCCCGCAAGCTGTCCCAGGATCCTGCCTGTGCGGGCGTCCCACACACGCACCACATTATCTCCAAAGCTCGCACAGATCCGCGAGCCCTCGGGGGAGAAAGCTGCAGCATTCACGAGCGCGTCGCCGCCCTCCAGCGTATGCAGCAGGTCTCCGCTGAACGAATCGCATATCTTCACCGTCCCATCGCTCGCCGCACTCAGTACCTGCTTTCCGTCTGGTGAGAATGCCGCGGCCCACACCGAGCCCGCATGCTCACGCAGCGTGACGAGTTCAGCTCCTGACTCCGCGAGCCAGATGCGCGCCGTGCCATCGTCGGAACCCGTCACTACACGCCGGTTATCAGGCGAGAACGCTAGTGAGTAGATGACCCCGCTGTGGCCCTCAAGCACGGACACCTGTGTGCCGTCCGCAACGTTCCAAACCCGTGCCGAATAATCTGCGCTGGCGGAGGCGATACGCAGACTGTCTGGGGAATATGCGACAAGCATTACTATGGCGTTGTGCCCCTCAATCACAGAGCGTTCGGTGGCTGTCGCGGCCTCCCAGATGCGCACGGTGAAGTCGACGGAGGCAGTGGCGATAGTGGTGCCATCAGGTGACCACGCGACGGAGTAAACGAATCCTCGGTGTCCGTTGAGGAAGGCACGAGGCTGACCGGTGCCTACGGTCCATATGATGGCGGTGCCGTCGCGCGAGCCAGTAACAATCTCGGCGCTGTTGGGGGAGAACGCGAGGGAGCAGACTGTGTCGTTATGGCGCTCACAGGTGCGCTCATATCCTCCCGTCTCCGCGTTCCAGATGGTCAATTTAGCGTCTTCAGATCCGCTTGCAATCCAGCTACCATCTGGTGAATATGTAAGTGAGCACACGCCATTCGTGTGTTCATCGGATACAACGATAACTCCGCCGCTCTTGGGTCGGCTTGTGTCTTCCTCTTCCATAGCACGGGGTGGTTGCGGAACAAGATCACTTGCGGGCTGCCTCGGCGCATCGCTCTGCTGTGCAGATGTTTCGGGTGCGATCTCCTCGTGAGAGAGCATGCCCACTACAACAACCAGTCAATATGCTGTTGCGAACAGGTAGATGCTTAGGCGACGCACAGCCATCCTCATTGACCTCAATGGGGGGTTGTATTGTCTTCAGGAACTCGCGGATGTCGTCCGGGAACTCCTGTGATTTTGCCTACCATCCCGAGATGAGATGAGACGATGTTTATGTAGACAGCAACAGACCCACCTTGCACAACTCGACAAGCTCCTCGTCATTCGCGATAGCGACCGTAGCGTCAGAATGCTACGTTGCAACCTCGTAAGACCAATATTGAGCATAAGGAAAGCCAAGCTGCCTACCCGCAGAATATAGTCGAGTAGGATGTCAACCGGATCATAGACCTAGGGAATGTCATAAGATGAGGACAAAAGATAAGAGGGCATGGCGATCTACCTTCTGTGGAGCGGGTACCTGCTCGATAACAACGTCTTCCATTGCGTCGCCCGCTCCGGCAGCCGCCGACCCTTCATACGCATCGTCATCCGGCCCTTCAGACAGATCGTGCGAACCGGCGGCAGCCTTCATGACAGTCGGCCAGAACCCAAGTCGCACCCTCAGTTTGTAATAGTTAAGGAAGACGCATTGGTCTGTCTTGTGAGTTTCACGCGTCTGATGTGCCTTCCCCCGGCTTTTGCCTTTGATTTTCTTCTGCACGTCTTGCTTTGGACCCCAGTTTCGCTCTGGCGGAACTGTCACATCGCTAGAGTAGCTGACTTTGAGGCTCGCATTGGCGAGAGAACTGAAGTTTCCGTCGAAGGATAATTTAGCTGAGCGGCCCTCGTGTATCCACGCGACGACGGCCCACTTCTTCGTCTTCACATGTCCGCGGACGAAAAATAGATCCTCCCTGGAGATGTCCACGTCAAGCTGGTCTTGGGCGAACATCACCCAGCTGTTGTAGTTTTGGCGCATGTAGTTCGCCATTCTCCGGCTGGGAAGGAGAGCCTCACGATCAGCGCCTTCTTCCAGCAATAGAACAGCGCCCTGTTCGTCGGTGCACTGGAACTCGATACCGCCTCCTGCGCCTTGACTACACGACCTCGTCAATTAGGACAAACACTACGGACTATCCGAGACTCACATAGAGACCTGTCCATTCGCAGATGTATGCTTGACAGCCTTGGAACATAGTGATCGCGCATCGATTGCCCCACGCTTATCGACCTTTCCATAAGACCGTTGAACGAATGGCTTAAACCCCTCTGGGACGCCCGCCTTGTTTGCGTCGTCATCCGCGGGGAGTATGGCGTTGAAGAGACGGTGGAAAGTGCCAGTACTAGCGTCGACAAAGCCGACGTCTCCAATGTGGACCTCACCATCAAGGCCGTCTATGTCTGGGTGCGTCGCCGGCTCTGGGTCCCAGAGTGGGTAACCATGTCCCAATCGGAAGAGTTGTTCAGCATACACCTGCGACGCAGAAGTCATCGAGTAGCAGATTGAAAGACGAAACTGCACCACCGCGAACCTAGATCATCGTAGATAGAAGCGGCTGTGTCCTAACGCCCGTATACTTGTGTTTCCACGTGAGTGTATATGGTTTTGTTGTACACAGTCCTGAATCCAGCTATCTGGGAGCACAGCCTTATTCCACATTGCGCCGAATAGGAATATGCATCAATCATCCGGAGGCCTGATATGAAATTTACTCAAACTCTGTCCGATACTATAGCAAGGTGAGACGAAAGAATACTGTGAGATCCATGACTGATCCTGGTGAAGCTCCCGGTTAGTGGTGTAGTCGCAATCATTCAAAATTACAATCATTCATTCAAAGTCCCGCTTTAGGCAATCCGTTTTCTCATCAGCGGAAGCAGATGGCTAGGGTAATGTCACGGAAATTATGGTCACAGGATGGTCACAGGTGGTTACGCAAGAATGTTGTGCTCACAGCCTCGGACTCTCGCGGACTACAGCCACCTACGTACGACGATACAGCGTAATTTCCAAAGTCTGTCAATTAGAAAAGTTGTCTGCGGCTGCTACAGAGGTACGTTGTCAATTATGCGATTGTGAGATTTACATGCGCCGTAGAATAGACTCCCAGATAGCCAGCGACGGTCTTACCTGCTGGGCTCCAGATCCACCAGTGAACGAACATGAAGGGTTGAAGGATCAAATATTCAGGGGCCGGGGTGCTGCTGCCATCCTCTGATGCACCCGATATGCATCGTCCAGCTTCCGCAAGTATTCCGACCGCGCACCCTCGATGGTCTCGAACACCTTCCTCGCTTCCTTTGCCCACCCCATTGCCACATCCAGCCCATCGTACACCGTGAGCACCTGACTTCCGCAAAGCAATAACCGTCCTTCCTCCACTCGCAACCCTTCTGACCGTGCCCAGCCTACCGCTTCCCGTAATTCGCTTATCGGTATTCGAGGCGGAAAACGTGCTTCCTCGATCTTCACCAGCATCTCACGTATGCGCATACGCCGTGCATCGCTCACCCGGAGCTGTGCAGCAGGCAGAGCGCACGTTGCACATCGGCAGTCGAAGAATCGCGTGGTGGCAAGGAAGGCGCATCGTTCTGCGCTCGGGGCACAAAGCGATGTGTACGTGATCGTTATCTCTTCTCCTGCGGCGATATTCCGAATCGCACGGAACTCTCCAGCGAATGTCGCGGGCGAGAAGACGTAATGTGCGTTTGGCGTGCAGTCGTGGTTCGCACGAGAAAGCGTCGGGAAGCAGGCGATGTACGTCTCTGTATCGGTCCTGCTTCCGGGATTTTGCTGTGCTCGCGAATCCCGCGTCGGCACCGTGATGCCGAGGCAATTCGTGTTCAGGATCCCCGGGACGACGTCATACTGCGCAGGTGGGTACGAGTTTGCGAGAGCGAAGAAGGCGATGCGCGAGGGCTCGGATAGACCCCGTATTGCGGCGCGATGGAAGATCCCATTCGCGTTCGTCTGGTCTGCCGCGCAGGAGATCCTGCTGCGCCCGGCCCAGACGGGGCGTTCGGTGACGATCATCTCGCCTGCGTTGATTGGCCGTTGCGCAATCATACCTAGGCCCTTACCATGAATAGGTGCAATGAAGAAGGCTGGCACGGGGTGCTGGAGGTGGATGGGTTGATTCCAGATGGACCAGGATGCGATAGACTGCAAGCTCGGGAAGTAGTCAACGAAGACCAAATCTGCTTGGCCTTCGGGAGCATAAAGGAAGCACGGCGCGCCCTCGTAGCGGTGATCTGACAAGACTATCTGTGGGTTCCATGAGATTGTCCTCGTGGTGTCTGCCTCCTGGAGGAGCAGAGTTGTGTATACGCCATCTGTTCACGTTGTTGAGCATCTGAGAGGCTTATGCGGATTGCTTCCTATTACCTGTACTACTTGACGCGTGGGGATTCATAGTATGGCGATGGAGTACGGGATGTGCTCTTAGGATGAAGAATTTATCTGTGCTCAATGATCCCTTTTTCTACATACACTCTACATGCTGCATGTTTCTCGTGCAGACGCAGACTTTGGGACGTACGAACACGCAGAAAGACCGAGTCTTCCCTTCTACAGAACGTACCCCACAGCGTGCATACTCGCGCCTTCGCGAGAAGGCCTGCCGAGGACACCTGTGTCCCATAGAAGGATTAATTACTGTTGTTGTTCAGGCAACCGAGTCAGGCGGCGTTAAAACGGGGCACGGCCGCCCAAGGCTATCATGCTGCAAATCGCGTCGCTGGAGGTTCTCACGAGCCCCCAGTTCATTTCATTCAGATACGAACTGATGCTACACATCTGCCCTACTCAGAACGTAAGCAGAACGGCCTCTGTCGCACGCAGATCGAAGCCCTCTGCCAGGTTTACGTCCTCCACCACGATTTGGCCCGTCGGGCTGACGTTCGCAGTCTGCTCGTAGCTCTGACCAGCCCACGTAAGGTTTGCAGTGTCGTCCGCGTGTTGGATGACCAGACGCCGAGCGGTCGCCTGGGTCACTACCCCCTGCGCGAAGTCGAGATTCAGGTGTACGACCGGACGCGTGCCCGTGCTGTTGGTGGTCCATGCGTCCAGGTTAACGAACACGGCCCGTGCCAGGCGGCCGGCCTCATACGCCGCGTAGCCGCTCGTGTTATTATCCGTGACGTCGAGCTCGACAACCTGCGCGAGGCCAGTGGATCCGACGAGGCTGTCGACGACGAGAGCACCGTAGTAAGGCGGCTGGATGTGTGGCGGCGCGGGGGTATCCAGAGGAGAGCCGTTGATCGTAGACCTGTTCAGGGTCACAGGCTGGATCTGCAGCGGGTGTGTCAGACTATGCTTGTTTGGGATAACGCCGCCGGCAGTGACATTACTCACAAAGTTGTACTTGTAGCCGATGCCTTCGTGGAAGTAAAGCTCTCGGATGCCGATGGTGGAAGCGAAGAGCGTGTAGTCGATGACCCAAAGCCCGGCACCAGCTGTGTTGCTGACACCCGGAGCTCCGTGACATGCGACACTGTTTGTTTCGCTAGAGGGTAGAGGGTCTTCGTGAGTACAAATATCTCACAAACGTGAACTGTCATACCCAAGGACGTAAGTCAAGCCGTGCTCGTATGTCGCGTTGATGTCGGCTTCGAATATTGTCAGGTTTCCACGCACAGAAGCTTTGTTCATGAACGAAATGAGTCCGAAGTCACCACCATTGCAGAAGGCAGCCGAATACTGATGCTGCGAGATCCTAGATTACTGGTGAGATAGCGGCACACAATTCGATTGAAATGACGCCAGCTTACGTAGATATCGTCTTTCCTGCCGTGCTGTTCAGGATGCCCAGTGCGAAAATCTCTCGTGGAGTGAACTTTTGTGATGCGAACGCTGCTCCCTGGAGAGTGAGGGGGCCGTCGTTGTTGGTGATTCCCACGGTCTCGACGACCGGGTCGGCCACAGATTCCCAATCAGGTACGTAAATCTCCACCGTCCAGTTGTTCGAGGGGCGCAATCCATTGCTGCTGTATAAGTCCGCCTCGTTTCCTGTGATGCAGTGAGGAATATATTTACGGTTCTCGCATGAGAATGCCGGTACTGACCGACCTCTATGCGCTCGAGGATAACTCCAGAGCTCTGAACCGACGGCAGGCTGAAGGCGCGCATGATGGCCTTGGCCATATTCACAGCGTTTGTGATATTATTATATCCGAGATTGACGCCCCAAACCATACGTGTTCCTGCGCATCAGCGGCCTGTTTCATCAACGGCTCACTACGATTAACCAGTGAGAAATGCAAACCTGCCGGCAGCCAGCGAACCAAGCTGTAGTACTCATTGCCTACGGTGATATTCGTGGCCTCAGGGTATGGGGTAATGGCGTTGGCCGGCGGGAAGATGTCCTGATTGACCTTAACCAAATATTCAGTAACACGGTATTCAACGGCGTGCACTTGTGTGCTGTACCGTGACGGTCGGGGACCAGACAGTATGGTCCTCGGAATCCGCGCCCACTCTCAGCTTGGGTGGTTGCCCAGTGAGGTTGGCGAGTCTTGTCAAAGCGCTGTACGTAAATTCATTACGTGCGTCGATCCCACTCCAGTCTGGCCAGTTGTCCTGTTCGATGGAAAAGGAGAGCAGCGTAGATGCAAGTGGTTGCGACTTCGTCGGTGCCAGGACAGGAACCGGCACGTTCACCGTCGTCACCGCAGCAGCAGCAGCAGCGACATGGAGGATGAGCGCGGCAAGGGCAGAAGACGACAGGGTGTAAAGACACATGAGTGCGTGTCGAAGCGTGGTTGCCGATGTGAGCCCTCCTGAAGCTCTTATGCCGTTGCGACTTTCCATCCGGAAATAGAAGAATACATGTCCAGAGACTGCTGACCGCCGTTGCCGGCGGGACGGGTGATCTGGCAAACACGGTGATCGTAAGTATTAGCACCGCTTTGCCCGCGTGTTTACCGACACTCCCTTCGGAGGGCCAGAGTTCGAGGTCACGAACGACGGCAGACGGTCCGAAGCCAACTATATATGTGAGAGGGGCTGGTCATTTCCCGGAGACGGCAAGCCTTCGAGTCTGCACGGCTTCGTTCATGTGGCCCATGGGTCATTTGACCGCGTTGGACTTGGGAGTAATTAGTCTACACGCACTCGGAGTTGTTGTTGGAAACTTGATTACCCCGTAGACTCACCTAGATCTACCCATCCCTGGATGCGCGAACAAAACTTGACACCTTGATTGAAACAAACTCGGCAGGAGTGACGGAGCTATATGGAGGATGTAACATCATGATGGATCGCGCGGTGCAACCTCGGCGTTTATCAGGTCACTGGTGTATGTATGTCCGACACCCTGGAGGCTCATCTCACTACGTCGCACTGTGGTACATACCAAATATGGAATTTGACTCCATTACACGAAAAAGAGCGCGCATTCAATGCCTTGCCATCGTCTGCATGATAGTAGCCCCTACACAACGACCACAGGATAGGAGGATGTCTCCGTCTTTACCAAAATATGTATCCGGCTCTGACTGTCGCAGTGGAATCGTAGAACATGCACAGAGATGGGTGAAGGAGTCGGAGGACTGTTAAGCGCGGTCTTCTGTAGAACCTTCCGAAATCCAATATGGCTTAGTAATGACCAACAGCTCTGTCGAAAGCCGTATTGTCTTGTGTATCTTTAACAGAACGGATGCATTTTAGCCTCTGAATATTGTGTAACATAGCTGTACCGAGAGAGAGAGAGAGAGAGAGAGAGAGAGAGTAGATTGACTGACACACAGTACCGAAGCCAGCAGAAGATTCCGTTGTGGAGGGTTCCGTTAGGAGAGGGATTGTTTATCCCCACCTACCCCATTATCTTTCCTTACTTCCCTCATCGTCGTGACACGCCGAACAAAGCATGCAATTGAGTACGATGCACAGCAGAAAAGCCGCAACCCTGAAAGTATAACTGGCTCTCATCTACTACCCGTCTGGATCAGAATCAGACTGCTGCGCGCAGAGTGTGGGGATTTCGAGGGTTAATTCTGAGATTGTTGGAAGCCTCATAGAAAGCCGCAAGCACTGATGTATGTTCAACTGTGCAGATATCCTTTGAGTGAACGCTTTGATATACTAGAACGGACTTATACTGACCATGATGCGACAACCCAAGAGCGACGGTAGTACTAATAATATGCTAAGGAGAACTTATGAATGTCATCCTATGAATGGTCATGACATGTACATACGGCACCGTTGCCATGAGAAGGCTTTGCTGTCGAAGGATTAAGTGAGACTATCAGATGAGTTCTGTTTCATGGTGGATACAGGAACTATTCACCTTCCATTTCCACATGATGAACACGAGAATAGTACTGGCACTAGAGGTCAACGAGTAAAGCATGGAATCGCGCAGCAGTATGAACATGAGGGGAGATATATAACGCGGTTTGCGAGTCTCTTGTACGACTTTGGCGACGTGAAGCGCAAGAAGAGTGCAGTGGCCTATGAGTTTTGGAACCCACGCTATCAGCGCATACTCGCTGACTTCGTAGGCCAGACAGCCTGGGGCATGGAGAGGGAGTGGGATAGCTGATTCATAACTTAATGTTACTTGGACAAGTAGTCTGCCACGCGATGTGCTCACCTATCAGTCGCTGGGCGACTGCCCATCCCGTTGACACAGAGGCCAAAAGGTGTGCAGTGAGCAGTACACAGAGAATACACAGAATGACCCGATTTCGCCCAAACATCACATAAAGAATTACGCTGAACATGACTGGCAACATGTTAAACTTATGAAATTACGAGTAAAGGCGTACTTACAGCCGGCGGATGCGGTCACGGGGGATGAGCAATATGCTGTAAAATGAAACCAGAAAGTACATCTAGGCCTTGGGCTCAGTTTGTGCAGCATCGAGAGGCTACGATGGCCTACATCTATGTAGCAGGTAATGAGATCAGTCGCAACATTGCACATAATAATGCTTACCGAAGAATCCGAGCTATGAGCAAAGATGTATACTGGTGTGGAGATAAATCACATCATAGCGGTGGAATGTTGATACGACTTACTGTAATTGCCTAGGCTAATGAAGTCGACTGTTCAAAGTGCATGCATCGTAAGCGGAGGAGGGGCGTACGCAAGGCTGGCCAACCTGCATTGAAATAATGTGGTTAGAGTCACTGCCTGTGCGAACGGCGTGGAGACGTACGGCCAGTATCGATTCTGAGCAGACGACAGGTGTCAGCAGTTTAAAGTAGATGCTGGGCATGTGATGATCATACCACTGCATAAAGCACCTTAATCCAGCCCCACCTCGCAGGCCACATATATGCGATCTGGAAACGACATGAGGAAGAGTTTGGTATTTGCTAGTCAATAGGACTAACTTCGTCTTTGAGAGTTAGGCCTAGGTTCCATTAGAGCACGTTCAAATATCCGGCTTCCATGAATGACTCAACTGAAGTCGTAGAGCGCGATCACCATCGAGAGGTCTGCATCGTTGTGATGAAGGGAAGTATTTGAATGTGTACAGAATTCCGGATAGGGGGGCCACGTACACCACATTGCTCGGCAAACATGGTAGGACGTCCCGAATTTGAGATAGTTCTCCCATTCGGCCTCCTCGAGCATTTTCACACTTAAACACTGTTGACTACGAGGAGGTTCTGTCTAGGACTGTGAATCGCACTACGGTTTTGAGATGCTCAGTGCACACCTGGACGTATGCACTCCACGAAGATGTGAGCGCGCCGGACGCCGACTGCCGGATACGAAGGAGGGAAACACCTGATGATTGTCGAAGACGGTCTATGATCACGGAAAGATCATCGGAGATGTTGTATGGGAGCAATGCAACGAGGCAAGGTGGGTATGGCGTCTCTAAAGTAAGCTGTTCTTATCCTTACCCCTGTCATCGAGAGCAGACTAAGCCGGCAATCAAACCATATGGGCCGCCGGCTGAAGGGCTAGACGATGATTGGTAAGGAACGCGTAGCTCGCCAATACGAATCCCTTGATAACAGATGTGCAATTGCGCTCATATATGATCGGCTTGAATCCCGAGGCAATAAGTGCGGTTGTGGGCGGCATCCTGGCCTCGTTCTCAGGTGGACCGATTAAGCTCATAAGAACCGAGAGATGCTGGACTTTAAGCGGAACGGGTTGTATCTAGGGTTCACACTCGGCGGACCTACGACGCGGCAAAACAGGACGCCCGCGCACTACGAGGCAACCTGTTCAAAGATGTGGTGGTAGCTGGCCTGAGTAAGAGCGTTGATGAAAGATGGGCTCAGAAATCGAAGTTCTTCGTCTTCGAACAATCGAGATACCCGTGTTGCACCAAGGTCATAAGGCGTGTTCACAACTCAACGTTCCGTTGATCGGGCTTCCTCATCAATGAATGTTGCATTCATCGAATAGTCTGTGCATAGCACAACAGCGATTCGACAAAACTCCAGAGACCTGATAATATATCAAGCGGCATTGGGCATGTTGAATGCATCCAACCCTCGGCTATGGGGCCGAACACCTGAGCGTCCGGCCAAATCATCTTCGCCGTCCTCACACCTAGGCATCCGGCCAGATGGCCTTCGCCGTCTCGACGACCAGGCTCAACTTCCGCACCACATCCGCCTCCGTGACGGGGTTCCCCTCTGCATGCGATGCGAAACCGCACTGCGGGCTGATGCAGATCCTGTAAGAGTTGAAAGATGGAACGCAGAGAAAGAAACAGTCCATGAGCAAATACATGCAAGAGCTCGCGGAGCGCCACGTACTGGTTCAGTGCCTCCTCCCGCGAGCGCTTCTCGTCGCCATTTGCGATGACCTCAGCAGCAGCGTGCACGCGTGCGATGAGCTCTTCCTTGTTCTCCATCTATGTCCGTGTGTAAGTGCCGGAAAGCTATGCATCCTAATTAGGCGCAACGTACCACGGGGAACTTGCTCGACACGAGACCGAGAACGACCGACTTGCTCCGGGGGAGCCAGCGCAGGGGCTCAAACGTGCCCGCACGCTCGGTTTCGTACTCCAACTGCGTGTAATGGAAGCCATAAGCACGGGCGCCGCGCGAGAGCCAGGAACACATACGTAATAAGTGTCGACATGAATCTCTTGGAAGAGCTTGATAGCTATGCGGTCGTATCCGCCCTCACTGAAGTGCCTCCCATCCTTTCATGATGTGTCAGCGTATATTTCCCCAACAAACCTCACCCAATGCCGTGCTACACGACGCGCGCCCAAAGATTCATTGAACAGTTTCCGATCGATGCCCAAGAACAGGAACATGGTACGATCTCGGAGACATCAAGCAATCACATCTACCTAGAGCGGCAGCGGATTTCTTGGCGGTGACCGAGCTAATAGCGCTCTAAGATGTAACTTGGCACAGTTTTGTGTTCAAGGGTGTTGACGAATTGTACAACAATCGCTTTCCGGACATCGGAGCATCCGAAAATAATAACGACCGCAGCCTCTCGACCGTATGCGAGACCAGGCCTCTGGCCTTCTCGGGGCGCGTCGCAGCACGAAAGCACTACGCACCTTGAAGTTCCCGCGGCACAAATGCAGGCCGACCGTCATGTCCGCGGGGCGGCCCTCCAAACACCTATTGTACACGCGGCAGTATAGGTCGAGCAGTGCCGCGTGGTCGATACCGCGTTCCTCCATGCCCCGGAGCATCTTCTCGTCGCAGAAGTATGCTAGCAGAGGGTCGTCGAACTGGATGTTCCCTGCAAGGCGGGCACGCGATTTAGCACTTTGATAGAAGTAATAGAGGTGGCTAGAGCAGTGGGCAGCAAAAGGGGGTGCGACTCACGGCAGCCGGCATCATAGAGTGCCTTAATCTCCTCGCGGTATGCCTGTGCAACATCCGCAAAGTATTCCTCTGTTATTGTGAGGGCAGAGACGTTCAGCCACTGTCAAGCGCAAAAGGTGTGCTAGGGGCTGCGCACCGTCATTCTTGTAGACGTCCTTCCGGTACGCGTAGGGGCCATGGCGGAGGTGGAACCACTCGGGCGCGCACATGGTAATTTTAAGGTTTTTGTGCTCCTAGAAGCGATCACACATGTTCAGTGAGCGATGCTAGCAGATGTCGTAGCGGTGAAAGGCTTGCCTCGGGCTTGGTGAGGGTCTTGAGCGCCTCGAATTGGCCGATGTAGAAGGGCTTGGTGCGCTTGAGTTTTGACTGCGTTGCGGCAACAGACGGAATGTATTGAGTCGCAGTGTTGGAGGGAGCCTGTGTGTGTACTCACTTCGCACAGGTATGAAGCGGCGCCCTTGAAAGAGGCCTGCTTCTTGAAGGCGTCGACGTCGGGTACATAGTCCTGCGAGCGGCATGCGCATAGCGTCAGGCACACAGCGCCGGTGGCGTTCGTGGGTCCGACGTACCATGAACCAGTCAAGAGGAACTGGAAATTTAATGTGGGTCAGACATGAACCCTATGCACAATGCGATAACGACTCACCAACCGGAATGTACTTCATGCCATCGAGGTTGTCAAAAACGCCATCGAAGAACATATGCCTATTTTACGAGGCTCATCAGCTCTGTCCAGGAAAACGCTGTACCACGCTTGATCGAGGATAGTTGATGCGATCGACAGCACTGCACATTACGCACCTCCTGAACTCGCCATCTGTGATCGCCTTGATGCCGACGTCCCTCTGCATCTGCACAATGTTCCGGATCGCCTCGTCCTCGACCACGCGGAGCTCCTCCTGCGTGCATTTGGCCTCCTCGGACTCCTTGCGCTTCTGGAGGAGCGCGACAGGTCGCTTGAGGGAGCCGATGTGGTCTGCGCGGAATGGCGGGCTGAGGCGGGGGGCGGCGGTCGACATGGCTGACGGCGGGAAGGCTGAGCAAGGCGAGAATATGAGAGCGGGAGGATAGGAGACGGCGGAATCGTCACAAAATCAAAGTCTGCTCGATCGCAAGGTGGATATATAGAGTATGCCGGAGAGACACTTTAGCCAAGCCCTGATAGAGGGGCTTGTCCTGGTGACCCTCTCGTGTGTTGTCAATCTTGAGTTTTTCAACGGTGAATGGTCAAAGACGGCAAAAAGACATACACGCACCGCTATCGCATGACTAGGTCAGACCAGGATAGACTGTGCCATCTGCCGCGGACGCCCGCGTCACTGCCGACGTCGCCTGGCCATGATGTTTACAACCAGTCGTGACTCCAAGGACCCGTGCCCAAATGACCGCGAGTGATGGCCCAGTTTGAGATTCACAGAGTCTGTCTCCTTACAGAGCCCTCGTCGGCGCCCTCGAAATCTCGCTAAGTGTAAACACTCCAGCTCTGGCAATAGACATTCGGACTCACCTCTCCCCACTGGCTGCACCCTTTTCTATCCTCTGAACATCACGGAGCATATGGCGTCAATCGCCAGTTTCTGCGTACGAGTTCCAGAGCGATGCGGTTAGGGACAAGGTCCACATTGCTCGTTTGGGAAGGGGCGAAATGCGTAGCCGAGCCGCACAGAGCAGTCCTTGTATCACATCTTATATGAATCCAGGAGTCCATAGCGGTGATCCGATTTCTGCGCAGATCTGTGTGTGTACGTGGGAGCAGGACGTGCTCGTCGCTTCCCTAGGCGAGGCGTGGGTGTGGGTACAGCAGTTCCGTGAGTACTCGCCAGAGCATTGGTTTCTGATATACGGCGGCGGGAGGACTCCTCGGTCGATTTAGATCATCAAGCACCCTCCTTGGGATCTTATGGACGATAGCCAGAATCCGTCTCGAATGCGCGCACGTAATCTCAGTGCATATCTGTCATCCTCGGCCATGACCCCGGTGGGTTGACTCAAGATGGTCGGCCAGTCGGTCTACTTCTCATTTTGTAAGTAATCGCCAGCCTTGGGTGTCGGAGCTTTGGTTCGCCTCTGTCTTTGCTATGATCCGCCAACCATGTCTGCGGCACAGAGAATCTGATGGCATGCCCTCTGTAGCTGACTGCATCGGCCAGAAAACTGCCTTCGAACCTGCTCAATAGCTCCACAAGCTGTGTCGAGCAACCCACGACTTGAACTTATCAGATAGCACTACCCCTCTACGCCAATTTCGCTGGAGGTCGAACACTTGGTCAGCCTATCACGCTCATTTGGAAAGCTAAATCTGTCTTTCACCGTCCTGTCCTTCTCTTCGTTGGGATCGCATGCCACAAACCTGTGGAGAACTCAGTGCATTGACCGTCCAAATTGTGTGGCGTGGGACGGTGCGTCTGCTTTCTCCCACTAACACTGTGGCGGGCTCCTGTTTGAGCAAGTCTGCCGCCGTGAATGCTCAGGTCCCGTGTTTTATTACCTGCAGACACGCGCTTTGGATCAGGGATCTTTGCTTGTCCCACGAAGTCGCAACGCCACACGGGGACCACGCTTTGGCCACCAAATCCTCTCGGCGCTTCCTGCTGCCGCCCATGGTGGCTCTTCAGGCGTTGTATAAAGGCTTGCGTGATCCCAGCGTATCATGCACACCTGTATACTCCGCGCGCGATGTCTTCCGGAACACCTCAAACGACAACATTCACAGACGAGTGAGTGCCCGGGTTCTCTCTTACATCACGTCCGCGTAGTGAGCCAAGCGTAAATATTAGGATGAGCACCCTCGTCGAGAAGCTCAACATAGTACGCGCAAACCACGACAGAGAAATCCTTGCGTGCGTGTGGGTCTGTGGGAAACGCGAAGTCGACCGCAATACCCGCATGCGTTTCTACCGGTACCTCATCACTTGTTATGACACGGCGCCCATGCCCGATGCACTGTATGGCAAGAATCCGCGCGTCCTCGCGGAAAGCCTCGATCCACAGACATTCGAGGAGGCAGCGCGCATTCGTGTGGACGCGGACATCGGTGGAACTTTCATCCCGCCGCTCATGCAGGAGGTCTTTCAAGGGAATCCCGACTCTTGGAAGGTTGCGCGTGATGATCTGGGACAATTGCTTGGTAGTATCTGAGATGCGGGTTTAGCAGTGCGATGTTTCAGCTATCTTTGTCATGTTGGGCTTTGCGGACGATTATATATGTGGAACAAGAGGAGTCAATAGCATATGCTTCACAAGGCTTACCCCCTCAGTTATTTGTCAATGCTGCAGCGCGGGGCAGGATTCCCCGAGCGCACCAGAACACGAGATGGATTTTGTATGCTACATCTCTCGTCGTGGCCAGCTGCTAGATGCATGTCATTCAGCTGTACCTGACTGAGTTGGACATATGTATTCAAAGTGCATCTACCCCGCCGCCATGATGAGGAACGCCATGGCTCACGAGTGTTTACCGAAGTTGCGGCAAGAGGATTGGCTGCCCCGCCACTCACTTTGTGACTGTTCAAGATCGTGCATTGGCCTGACAAGTGTGGCCGGGTCGGATAACAGTGCCGTACATATGGTAGCAGATGTGTGGCGACCGCAGAGGACCAGCCTTGTCCATTAGAACAAACCATCGCTGGCGCCCAAGAGCAACTAATGTACAGCGACACTGCCTATGTAGACAGCCGTGGCTTGTCGCGGTGGGTGCAGGTGGCTTGTATCGGCAAGGCGCCGTAGAGCTTCGCTCGCTGGATCTCTGAACAGCGCGTCAATCGCAAGCTTCACTCTCCATCCCGTACGTCTTTTTGAATCAAATAATTAACATCAATATAATATGAGTTCCATAAGTGCATCGATGAACAACAAAATCCATATTAACGAAAGTAGCAGCTGAGCGTCACTGCGTCAGAGACTGCTCTTTGGGTCGAAATCAGGTGCGATGATCCGTCGTCGGACGTCTTCCTCGACAGACTCAGTGATATGTTCGAGCTTGCGGCCCGTCCGAGCACCCACGACCTTCCATGCAGCAGTCTTGACAACAGGAGGGCGGTATCTAAGACAGTAAGCAAACGACAGCGAGATACAGCGGATTGACGGGGCTTGCTCAAGGAGCTGCAATACCAAGTCATCTTCGTGCATATGACAGAACGCAGCCTCAAACCTCGTTTTTGAGTTCAATACCGAGAGCCGCAGGTGCACAACGGTTGGCATACGGCCAAGAGCAGCGAAAATAACCTTCTAAAGATAATGTCAGGGGGTCGACCTAGACGATAAAGAATTGGATAGATAGTCACCATGCATGCGGCGATAAGGCCCGGCCTCATGCCACTGTCCGACAAGCAATGAAGTTTGACTTCAAGACTACGCAGCCGCGGCGTGCATTCGACCAGCGGCATCCAGAAGGAGTCGGCCAGTCCAGGATCGGCCATTATTACGAATGAAAGCGCCAGGGGGGATGTCTGCTTGATTAGACGGAGAGTGGTATTGAGCGCATGCGTGGTTGAAGAATACGGGAAAAAGCGATGAGGTTCGGCAATTCTGCTGATTGATACGTGTGGAACATGGCAAGTTGGCGACCATTGCTCGAAGAATTCCACGGGTCCTTCGACATAGTCTAGGCTTTTCCAACATGCAGTCTCTGCTGTATTGAAGCGAACGCAATCATGGATCCGCAGCGCGCGAAGGTTTGGAAAGGCTCGCCACAGAGTATACATTGAGATGCCGACATCAGAAAGCCACAGAGATAGCTTGCGCACATCGGGGAAGGAGTGGTGGTACCCATTGGTGGGGTTTGACGAATGATCAGGGCCGAGCTTTTCCGACAAGGTAAGCTCAAGATCGGACACCTTCATGTTCATGAGGGCAGGAAGAACCCGGCCGCTCCGCATATGATCGACCAATCGCAGCTTCTGCAACTCGTGACGCATAGACAAGAGAAACTCCTGGACACATGGGCGCATGACGGTGACCGTGATGTCCAGGCAGCGCAGATTAGGCAGGATGTGGATAGCTGACGCTATGCGGGGCTCTAGGGTAATGATTCCGTCAAAGAAAGACAATGTGAGCGACTGCAGCTGAATGGCGTTCTCGAGGAAGTGTGCCAATTTCTGCCCAGCTGTCACGAAGGGCTCTCTATATCGACCCGTCTCAAAAGCTTTGCGTTCTGCGGATACTCCGCCGCGAATTTTCAGCGACTTGACACAGTGTAAACGTCCAGGTATGTCGTTGAGCATGTATGTACACATCCCCGTGATCTTTTGATAGTTTAGATCACCGTAGATGTCATCTATAGTCACCGCAGATAGAGCCTGCCTTTGCGCGAGGGGGTGTATGCCTCGAGCTGTGGCCGATAAGTTGTGGGCGCTCGCCGCATCGAGGTTGGCAATAATCTCGAGCAGAACATCTTCGTTTAGACCGAGGAGTCCCTGTTGAGCGTACAAGGTTTCATAAACCAAGATTCAGTATATATCCCTCAAGCAAATAGTGCGCCATACCCCTGACATTCTTGGATCTGGCGATATCGTGATTGTGGACTTCCCCTAGGAGACTTGTATGGCAGGTCAACGATTTAGACTGATGGTGATCGCTGGATGGTCCAAGCAGTATCATATGGAGTTTGCTATAGGAGGCAGGGAAATAGACGTGAAGGACAATGTCGGAAATGTCGGCATACAGTGGTTGGCAGTTGCTTTATACCTGTGGTGGGGTTGCAATAGCAGCCGCGTCGCGCCACAGAGAGCCACTACACAAGAAGCCAAAGCCAGGTATCCGGACACGTCGAGTATCAAGATCTTGAAGTACAAATGCAGAAAAGGAATAACACGCTTTGACCTGGCAGTGGCGTAGTAGTAGCCGCTTCAGCGCTTGTGTTCTATCACACGGCACTGTGGCTGCGTACACGGGGAGCTCACCGCATTTAACAAGGTCGCACCCGGACATACTCCACCCTCGCTCAATAATTTTTGAAGGTAGATCTTACCAGGCCCCGTGCAACTCCCCTAAAGGTTTGGCCTCCGGCAGCATTGTTTAGAGCTCGAAAATGCCCATATCCTTGTCCTACTTAGCATTTTTTTGACCCCCAAAAGGGGCAAAGATGCGTCACCGCTTGTCCTTTTTAGCATTTGTTCCCAGCAAGTTTCGCTAAGACAATAACAAGATGGTCCGAATAGGTCCGAATATGGTAATCATTTGTTTCGTAGTGGGGCCCTTTGCCGACGCCGAGCATGTAGATTAATATTGTAACACAGAATATGTCTAAAACATAATCTAATCAATAATTGAAACCAGGTTTATGACCGCAGATTTCGAGCTTGCCGGACGTGCTGCAGGGGATACATAAGCGCCATTCATGTGACGTAAAGCCTCGGCCCACTCACCATTAATATAAAGGTGTGGAGAAGCGGGGGGAGGCGAACACTATTGGTGAGGTTCAAATATGGAAGTTGATAGGCGCGCCGATGGGAGACTTGAAGCGGTCGTTGCACAGGCCTCTCATACATACATCGCCAACCCTCCTGCTATATAGCTGTGGAGCGAGAAAACAATAGACGGCGTCGGCTTGCGACACCTCCTGCGCGAGCCCACATTTGCGCAAGACACAGAGGTATCATCCGCATGATCAACGTGGTCATCGCGAGCTTCAACACCGTCCATGAGATATTGCTTCCAAAAAATCTCGATCTGTCAGAGCAATCTATCTGAGAGGAAGTTGTTATATTCTGACGTGCGATTATCTAAAGACATGTAGTGACCTAGTACAAAAAGGCGGAGGTCCTCCCGGTCGCGGGGTTGAAGGCAAATAGCCTGGTAGGCCCAAGTACTTGCCCGGTTACGTGCAAGGAACGTGCTCGGATATACCGCGGCTTTGATTTTTGGATGCAGATATCCATCTGTTGATTCTGGAAGAGGTCCGGATCGCCTTAACAGACACCCGCCTCTACGAATCTGATCACACGACGGCGATGCGGGTATGTGTCTACAAGGTTCGAAGCGATCCCTCCCGTGTAGGAGATAGATGGCTCCAAGTAGACCTGATGCTAGTGTGATTTCTTTCCATTCCACGAGATGATGTGAACGCTAGTTCGTAGTACAGTGACGAGACAGGGATAGAAGTACACAGTGTGAATGCGGTGTTTGTACATTGCGCTGAGCCGGTGTCCTAGCATGTCCGAGATATTACTTGCCGATTACGATACTTTCGCCCAATGACAGAGGCGGTAATTGAGGAGGAATGGGTGGCTATAGACCCAGCGCAGCGATGTGGCGCATGATGGTCAACGATGCCAGGATTTCTGTGAATGCTCATGAAGAACTAGTACGATATGCCACGACGCAACTACATACCAGCTGACATACGCGCGTGCGCCTCGTAGATGGTCAGAATATTTCCCGATGTCCCAAATACGGGCTTGTTTGGCGGCTTCAGGTTGTAGTGAGCGACTAGATAGTCGCGGCTGTCCGTGCACTGGAACTGATTGTCAGTAAGACCTCCGCAGATGCGCTTGTTGACTTACCGACCACTCCTGGCCCTCTTGGCCCTTGTACGTCCATCGATACTCCTCCCCGTCCAATCCTCTGAACTTCCGTGAAAGGGATCTATGCTGCACGTTAATTGTCATGTTCCTCCCTTCAAGGCCAGGCACTTACCCTCCGAACATGGACGTCTTCCGCAGATACTGGCCCATGGGCATCGACACGGACGATCCCGCGAACGAGATTTTGCCCAGCGTGCCGCCCGCGCCGAACTCGAGCACGACGGACGGCGCACGAGCCGGCGGGCGGGACTCGCGCTGTGCGGACGAACGCCGTCCCACATTGTACACCATGAGCGTGTCTCCCGCGCCGGGCGACTGGTTTGTCGGCCGGGCTACGCGCAGGAAGAGGCGGTCGTAGATATCGTCGAAGTCTGAGCCAGTGTAGGCACCAGTGCGGTCCTCAAGGAAGTATGGGAGTGTGCGGTTGATCATGTTGGCGGGGATAGAATGGCGTAGCTCTTGCCCTGCTTTTGAGCGTATTAGAGGTTGAAGTCGTGGCACCAGTAGAGCTGGAGGGAGGAACCCGCTGCGCTTTGATACGTGGAAGTTGTCGGTCCCAGGCACGAAGGTTAGCTTATATATATATGTGCTACTTACCCCAGACGGGGAACTGATCCGTGTACGGCATGCATCAGTATCAGCAGTACTGGGACACAGAGAACGTGAGCGGCCAAAGAGGGTGAACGGAGGAAGATTCACACACCCCGATGCGGGCCGCGCGACTGAATTGGCCTCGAGGAAGCGCGCGAATTTGAAAGTGCCTGTTGCGCTACTAGCGCGGGATCAGAGACGACTGCTTGTGTACTCGCGCGCTGGGCACTGCGCAGGTAGGCCTGGGACGAGGTGCCGCCACGCATGAGCCCAGTGTCGGGATCCTCGGAGAGTTATCGCCAGGTTTCGGATGTTCCGATGTGGCCAGCTGCGCGGATATCTGAAGTAAGGCGCGGCGGACTAGGTAGAGCCTGCTCTTTGGTGCCGCCACTTGACGCCTCACGTCTGTGAAACCGTCCGGCTATGTCACAGAAAGTGAAACGCAATGAGCACGTCATAACCCAGTTTTTTTGCCCTGAGACTCCGTCCATGGCACCCTCTCGGTGCCCGCCGTCCTGACTGTTCTGTGTCAGGTGTCATAAGAGCTCGCCTTCTTACATGGATACACATACCAGCTCGGCCCTGAGTCCCACCCGTCTCTCATGGAGAAGATATCAAACTTCCCTCCGATGTGCGCTTCTCGCGCGTTGACCGACTTCATTTCCGCCATTCTAACGCGGTGCCCTCGTCGTCTGATCAACATAGCCTCACATGACAGATGCTCGTTTTACATCGCCGAAGGATCAACGGGAGAGAACGCGAAGGAAGGGACGATACTCGTGCCCCGCCCCTTCTCGTCTCTGCAGAAACACTTCTCACTATTGCCTCCGAGCTTCGTGGCAGGCATATCATGGACTCTCAATCTACCCGACGTGAGCATGCACGAGAATGACTGATGGCTTGCAAGAAACCTATTGTGACAGCGTTCAACAGTGGAGAATCAAACTTAGTTGTTGCGTTGCTCACCTGTGCGGAGAAATCGATTCAGAGAGAAGCCACCCAACAAGCCGTCTCTAGCTAGATGTTCTGTGCACCTGACCTGCTACGGGTGCGTTAGATTCGTACGCCATCCGCCAGTCGTGTCTTTCTGTGGTTGACAATATCATATGTGACGGGCGATCACATCCCTGCCATGGCAAGAACTAGGCAGAATCAAGACAGCTCCGAGCCGACTCATTCAATCCCACCGCAGCGCGGAACCAGGGCCGACGAACCTGCGACGATCGTGGAAGGCATCAGGGACAAGAGTCGACGCATGACAGGGCTCGATTTGACTAGGCTCGATCACTGTGGTATGGGAAGCGAGGCACGTCGAGACGGAGCTCACTTTCACGGTAGCACGTTGTTGTAGGGAAGTCTTGCGCTGACCGCGCGTTGTGGAGCATGTCAAGTTATATATCGCAGTGGCATTTGCTTTTGGGGCGCTCGGGCGGCTTCGAAGGCTCAGGCGGCTCCAAGAATTGTCACCTAAATACCCAGCGTAATAGAACGAGGCCAGAATCGTCAACCGGTGGCCTGTCTAGCCCGGAAAGGCATGTAAATAGACGTGCGCCGCCACATCACGAACAGGAGGTCAGATGTCTTCTCATGAGCCCGCAACTGAATTGAACACAGGCAGAATTCAGTCACGTTGACAACATCGTGGATCTAATGTAACAAACAAAATCAGTACAAGCGACACAGACCGTGCGCCAATATTCGCAAGGTCCGTCGACATTTTGTTCGCGCGCTCCTCCCATCTGCGCACCTGTGCAACGGGGTCAGGCTTTCAGCGGAGCACCCCAGATCAGTGGGAGACGGATTCTCTCACGTACACCCCCTAAGCTCATGCTCTCCACAGTGTTCGCTCACTACCCCACTATACCGCCAGGAAGCCCCCATCCGTCCCGATCGCCATCGCGCTTGTTTTTGCGTCCAAGAACAGCTCGCCCATCTCGTTGATGTCTTCCTGCTCGATCTGCTTGCGCCCCGCGAGAGTAGCAAGGATGGACGCGGGAGTGAGCAGCTGCAGTGCATACCTACGGTCGCAGGTAAGGTCAAAGAAAATCGCGAACAGTCCCAAGGGAATACTTACCGAAGTGAGCTCGTTTCGCCTCGTTTTGCTAATCTGTCGAGGACGCCGGATCCTAGCTGCAATCCTTCGACGTCCGCGCGCAGCTGCACAACCTTGGCAACCTCATCATGTGAATAGCCATCGGTCTTCACAATGAGGCATCTAACGCGGGTTTAGACATTGGTCAGTATAATCACGAGATCGCCCGGAGAGGACCTACCGATCGAGGAGATCAACAGGGATTCCATGAGGGGCCACAATGTCAGTTGTTCCACGAACAAGGGCGTTGCCACGGTTGGTCGCGAGAATCACGGTGGGCGCCATGGGAGACTCGAGAAGCGCATTGAGATATGTGAAGCATTCAATGTCGAGCATGTGCACCTGCGTGAGCGGAAAGAATCGCGCGCGTGGTCACATCTTGTCCATCAGAGCTTAACATGTGCGACAAGACGAACCTCGTCGATGAAAACCACACCAGGAACAACCTCCGCGACTCCCTGATCAACATAGCCCTTCACGACTTTGTTTACTTCCCTTCGCAGCTTCTCTGTCACTTCGGTGCGGCCGCTCTTCACAAGGCTGCCCATGACGCTCATGATGTCCTGTCCGCCTTGTGGTCGGGCGTTTGCAGCGTCCAGGTCGCCGAGCGTAACGTCTTGCACGAGCTCCTTACGCTTGTGCACATCGCCCTTGGGCAGTGGCACGTATGTCTCCGATTCCAGGTCGTACGATGATGCGTAAGCATCTGACCGACCGACGCGCTGTTGGCCCGATCAGCATAACCCAAGTCACATCATTGTCCGCGTACCTTGACTGCGCCCGTGTTGGCCTCGACGTAGATGACATCTCCAACAACGATTTTTTCCTTGAGAATCGCTTCGTAAATACTAGGGTCCAAGCGCAGCTGCTTGGTGCCCTTGACTGTCTTGAGCCCAACAATGACATGAGAGACGGTCTTTCCGTACCCGCTCAGTGGGTTCTCGGACTCCGTGGGCGTGAGTTCAGTGACCTCGCCCTCGTACACCTCCTTCGTCTCCTTTATGCGCAGACCTGTGTGTGCGTGAACGTCAGCGTTCAGCGCGGGGTGAGAGGGCGGCGGGACGTGCCTATTGCCCGCCGGAACGCCTCCGCAAGGACCTCGGTCTTTTTCACCTCCGTGCTGTACACCTCGGAGCCGACCATGGGGCAGAAGGGCACCTTCGCGCCCAGCTCCTGCGAGATGGCGAGCGCGAGGGCCGTCTTGCCGGTGCCGGGCGCGCCGACGAGGAGCAGCGCGCGCCCCGAGAACTTGCGCGACTTGATGAGGTCGACGACGACGCCGCACGCCTGGAGCGGACCGCATGAGGATGAAGACGACAGCAGGGGCCTCTGAGAGCGCGCTCACGCACCTCGCGCGCATTCGACTGTCCGACGAACCCTGCGCCGTCCGCGCTCGCGTAGCCTTCTGAGGTGAGGCCGAGCCCTTTGATGTGCGAATGGGGCGCTATGCGCGACGAGCGGGAGGCCGACGCGGTTGAGGGGGGTGGGAGCGCGTTGTGCGCGACGGGTGCCGAGGACGTCGACGCCTTGAAGCTCGACATTGTGGAATATGGTGGTCGACAAAGGGGATTTTAGGCGCGGGGTATGGATTCGGCGCGACTACCTTCACAATTCAAGGCTTGCAAGTGCGCGCGTAATGCAGCCTTCAGTGCGGCCTTAATGCTAGCACTTATCCGCTTATCGGATAACCCAGCGGCCGCGAATCTCGAAATCGCATCTCACTTGCGCGCCGCCCCCCATGTCGTCCTCGAATCCTAAGCCATATGTCCAGGCAGGCGAGCCGCTGCAGGACTTTCTGCGCTCCTTCTGGCAGCGCCAGGTCGACGCCGCCGAGCAGGAGACACCCGACTACCGCCACCCGCCCCTGCCCCTCGCGCGCATCAAGAAGGTCATGAAGAGCGACCCGGAGGTCAAGGTGAGCCGTTGCCGTCGACTCTGAATCTGAACCATTGACCGGCCGCCCGCGTAGATGATCGCAGCGGACGGTGCGTCGCGTTGAGCAGCCGTCATCGCAGCACGCGCAGCGAGACTGACCACCGTGCAGCACCCATCCTCTTCTGCAAGGCCTGCGAGAGTGAGCCCCCGTCCCTCCTGCGCGCCGTCTGCCCACTGACCAGCTTGAACTTCTCTCCCCCACTTCTCCCCCTCCCCCGCGGCCCCTGGCGCAGTCTTCATCTCTGAAATCACCGCGCGCGCGTTCATCATTGCCGACTCGAACAAACGCCGCACGCTCTCGCGCGCGGACATCGCCAAGGCGCTCAGCAAGTCCGACCAGTTCGACTTCCTCATCGACATCGTCCCGCGCGAGGAGCCGCTCACGGGCGCGCCCGCCGCGGCGTCGCGCGTGCAGAAAAAGGCCGGCGGCGCGCCGTCGAAGCTCGAGCAGGTGCGCGCTGTCGCGTAGTGCGTCCGCGGTGCTGAGGCTGAGGCGGCTTGCTGTCTGTGCAGAACACCGACGGGCCGCAGAACGGCGCGCCGGGCAACGGCCAGCCGGGCGAGGACACGGCACCGCCGGTCGACCTGGAGCAGGTGACCGCCGCCCCCCGCCGCCCCCCGCATGTGCCCGCTGACCGCTCTCTCGCACAGCTGCAGACGCTCCTCAATCCCCCGGGTGCGGAGAAGTGACCGAACGTCTCCGTCTCTTAGAAGCGTGTGCGGGTTTTCTTGCTCCTCTTTGCATCCTTGCTTTCGTGGTCCGTCCGTATTGTCAACTAAGCACACTGTAACATAGCTCCTTCGAGCAATCTAGCACAAGCACTACTAATGACCGCAAGCAACTACGAATGACTGCAAGCAACTACTAATGACTGCAACCTACTCACCCCGCTCCTCAGCCGCCGTCCACAGGTACGCTTCACTGGGCCATGCTTCTGGCTCGACTGCCCGCAAGTCTAGTGTCGGTTGCACGACAACCTCTAGCCGGGCAGTAGGCGCCTTGCATGGCGAGCAGAAGTCCCTCTTACAGGTATGCGTCAGCTCCTCCCCAGCCAACACCAGCCTCGCCGGCCGCCCGGTCGCCCGCACGCGCCCAGCCATAATGCACCGCACTGCACATACCTCCGCGTCCGCCAGCACAGTGACCGCCAGCTCCTGCAGCTCCGGGCACACCAGCGCGCTGTCCGCGTCCGCGTCCCCGGGCACGGGCAGCAACGCGCTCAGTACGCCCGGCGCGCAGGGCGCCAGCGTGATGCTCCGCAGGCGCGGCGCCCGCGCAAGGACGTCGCGCCACCCGGGGTCGCACCCCGCGCGCCCCTCGCCCGCGCGCACGAGCGTGAGCGCGGCGAGGTCGCGCAGGTCGAGCGGCCCGACGAGGCCCGCGGCGCGCAGGTCGGGCGCGAGCGCGCCGAGCACGTGCAGCGTCCCGCGCGCGGCGCACACCGCGTGGACGTGCGCGCCGTCGGTGGGCGGTGGCGACGCGATGTGCAGCGCGGTGGGGCGGTGGAGCGGCGCGAGGGCGTGGAGGTCGGGCGGGAGGAGCGCGGCGAGGTCGAGCGTGCGGAGGGGCGCGGTCCAGATGGCGAGCGCAGTGTGTGCGGGGAGCGTGAGGTGCGCGAGGAAGCGCGCGACGGCGGGCGCGGTGGGCCAGTGGCCGATGTCGAGCGTGCGCAGGGCGGGCAATGTGATGTGCCGCGGGGCCGCGGTGTCGGGGCCGTCATCCAGGGTAGGCCCCGCGTCGACGAGCGCGAGCTGCTCGAGGCGCGGGCAGGCTGTGAGGAGGTCGAGGAAGGCGGCCAGCGTGGGGCGCGCGGTGGGCGGCTGGTCGTACAGGCCGAGGTGGGTGAGGCCCGTGAAGTCATTGCCGGGCCAGAACGCGACGCCGCGGAGGGTGAGGCGCTCGAGGCGTGGGGCGCGGCCGGCGAACAGCTGCGGGAGCACGCACTCGGTGCCCTCGAGGGTGAGCTCGCGCAGGAGCGGGGCGGGGCGGGAGAAGGCGGCGAGGAGGCCGGGGCCGTAGCTGAAGCGCGGCGCGACGTGCAGGCGGGCGATGCGCGCGCAGTGGGCTGCGAGCTGTGCGCGGAGGGGCGCGCCCTCGAGCGTGGGAGTGACCTTGTCGTCGTCGACGCGGTCGCGGAGGAGGACGGTGAGCGGGGCGCCACGCGCGCGTGCGAGGGCGAGGGCGGCGAGGCGGGGCGATGTGGTGTCAAGGGTGGCCCAGAGGGCGGCGAAGGCGAGGGCGGTGTGCCGCCAGTAGCGGCAGACGTGGCTGCAGGCGAGGAGTGCGCGGATGGGCGAGTGGGCGGGGAGCGGGGGCGGGAAGGCCGCGGGCGTGTGGTCTTCGGCGAGGCTGAAGATGTGAGCGAGCAGCTCGACGGGGAGCGTGTGCACGGCTGCCTCGAGGACCTCGGGTGGTGCTATCTGTGTGTGCACGGGATCATGGACATCGAGATGCAGCTCGCTCGGTGTGCAGACCTCGCGTTTGTCGAGGATTCTGCAGACAGAGGATGAGGTATGGAGATGAGCTCGCTGTGCGTGGGACGTACCTTCTGCCAGGGCGGGACTGCGGGGGGATTAGCACCGCAGGCATGGCGAGCAAGTGAATCGCGGGACGGAGTGCGATGGCACGAAGTGTATATAAGTGGGCCATGTCAGCGTCAGCCACCGCACTCAATGATCGTCGCTCTCCGCGATCGACAGTCACCTCAGGTGGCGGGCGGTGCCTGAATTAGATACTTGGTGCGCCATCTCCAAGCATCTTCATTTGGTTGCCCGCTTCGGTCGACGTCATGGCATCAAACCAAGGTTTGCAGAAGCGAGAAGGGGTTGTCCGTTGATATATAACTCGCGGCGCAGCTGTCCTCTCGCGTTGACGTTACGATGACCCTCCGTCGACGGTGGATCCTCCTCTGCGTCCTTCTGGGCGGCGCCGTAAGTATGCGTCATCACCGTTCTCATCATCACCAGTCTCGTCATCATCGTTTCCATCAGTGCCCATCATCGTTTCCGTCGCCGCCCTTCGCGGCATTTATCTTCCCGTCATTGGCCTTCCTGCCCTCCTAGTGGCCGGTTTCGGTATACTCGGGCCCCTTGCTGTGAGTGTAGTCGTCTCCCGTCACAGCCTCCCATCCGCTGTGGGAGGGATAGTCGCAGCATCGTCCGGAGATGGTCGAAGGAATGATTTGTGGTCGGCTAGCTGTAATGATTGCATGGCCGCGTTAATCTAACGAAAGCGACCGCGTTCGGAACAAACAAAAGAAACGAAGAGAGTCTAATCTCTGCCCTAGACGCGCATATACTGAGCACTCGAGCGTTCCACGAATACGACGACCAGAGACCAGCGAAGACCCAATAGGTAGCAAAAAGAAATTAAACAAGGGGGCTCACCAAGTCATGCGGGTTTGTGCTGTTGCGATTTACGCGAGAAGAGGGCCAGATGGAGATTTGAGAGCAAGGGTGAAACTGGATTTCTCGACGTCGACGCCGGTTTATATATGTACAGAGAGACCATAACAGCTATGATATCATATGCGACTCGCGAGGAGAAAATGACGCACGACGAGGCCGTTGATCGACGTCCCAAAATAGAAAACACCTTCCAAATCGAGATGGAAGTCCGCCCAGGGCATAAGCAAGCTAGACTCGGTGCAGTCAGTTCGAGTCCGCTTCTGGCAACATCTCAGTGTCCCGAAGATGTTACCCAGCGTGTCATATTTACTTGCGCACCCTGCCGCTCTCAGGAGCGTGACGACACCGGCATCCCCGTTTGGCCTACACCAGTCGCTTCATCTCGCCTTCCACACCGTCTTCGCCAGCCCGAGAGCTGAAGGGGAATATCTGTACGTGCTTTCTGCCTTGTGTTCGAGGACGATGAAGAGACTCGAGAAAATAGATAGAAGAAGTAGAAAGGAAAAGAAAGAAAGAAAAGAAACACATCTGCTGACGTTCCTTCAACGTGTTTTCCCCCACCACTACGCAGGCTCGCTCGCTGCCGCATGGCAGGCGGTGATCGGCAACGCCGTCGCTGGCTTCTTCTTCGCAGCCTGGCAGTACATCAATTCTGGAGGAGTCGGCATTGTGATCTCAGCCCTCTGGTACATTGTCTCAAGTATCGCTGGCGTTGTCGTCGGTGCCCTCATGGGCTAGCCCACGGCAAGAAGGGAACACCCTGCTCGTCGCCAGCTTTGACTTCGGCTTTGTACTCACCTTTCCCGCACACACGGATGTCTGCGCGGTATGGATGAGTGCTGGCTGCCGTGCGCTGCCATGCCATGCAGGACACCCTCCGCGGCGTTGCTGTCGGACCAGCCGGGGGTTCACTAGCGCCTGGTGGACTATTACTCGGAGCGAGTGACAGAGCGAGTAGCGAAGCGAGCGCGGGGGTGGAGGCGGAGACAGACTCTTACCGCATGCGAGCTGGCTTCACGAGAGTGGTTTCTGATGTGCTAGTCACTGGGTGTGAAGATATATATGTCCATCAATATGCAGCACATTTCTGTCGAATACGACAGTCGTGGATGAACAGGATCAAGGTGGGCGCTGCATACTGTGGCTGACATGAAGGCCAGGTCAATGATTCCATCCTCCCTTGGAAATCATGGTGCCGGGAGCATATCGACGCGAAGCATACGATGTCGTTCACGGCGGCACCTATGCTTGCCCCAAGCCTGGCCGCAGCGACGTACCCGGAGAGGGTCTAGTTGTGAAGACGAGGCACTCGGGGGCGCACAGCGTGCCGGGCAGAACACTGCGGGAGTTGAACGTTGAGTGAGACGTACCTTTGGCAAAAGCTCGACTGTGAGGAGGTTAGCACTGCGGTCATATCGAGAAAGTCGATAGCAAATGCGAGAGTGAAGTGCCATGGCACAGAGTACTTAAGTTGTCCATCTTGACGCCAGCCACCGCACCCAATGATCGTGGCTCTCCGCGATCGACAGTCACCTCAAGTGGCCGGCGGTGCCTGAATTAAGTAGATACGTAGTGCACCATCTCCCAGCATCTTATTCTGGCCGCAAGTATGCCCGTTTTGGTCGACGTAATGGCATCAAATCAAGCGTCGCGGAAGCGAGAAGAATCGTTTCTTGATATATAATTCGCAGCGTAGCTCTCCTCTCTCTCGTCGACACCGCGATGAACCCCCCTCTATTAAGGATCCTCGTCTACGCCCTTCTGGGTGGCATCGTGTTCGTTATCATTGTTCCCGTCATCATCATTCTCGTCCTTCTCGTCCTCTCACTCATCGGTTTCGGCAAACTCGGGCCCGTTGCTGGTGAGCGTTGTTGTGTCCCATCACAGCCTCCCATTCGCTCACTCACCCCACAGGCTCGTTCGCTGCCAGGTGGCAGTCAGGGTTGGGCAACGTCGTCGCTGGCTCCCGCTTCGCGATCTTGCAGAGCATCAGGATGACTCGCGTGAGACCGGTCCGCTGGTGCATCATCTTCGGAGTCGTTGGCGTTGCCATCGGTGCCCTCATTGGCTGGCTCAAGACCGAGTCGCAGAGCATTGAAATGACTGCTGTGATCTCAGCCCTCTGGTACATTGTCATAAAACTCTGGTACATTGTCATCAGCCTCTGGTACATTGTCTCCATCATCCGGCATATTGTCTGGTATATCGTCTCGGCCATCTGGCATATTGTAACGGGAGTCATTGGTGTTGTTATTAGTGCTTTCATTGACTGGCTCATGGGGACATGGAGCCTCCCTGTTCTGACTTTACAAATGTCGACCTGAGCTTTGTACTCATCTTCTCCGCGCAAACTGATGTCTGCGCGATATGGAATGAATGACCTTAGGTCAAATACTGTGTGCAGAGCGCACTTTGATCCCGTTCATCATTCGATAGAAATATGATGTGTCTCAATGGACATATATATCTTCATCTCCAGTACCTAGCGCACCAGAAACCACTCTCGTGAACCTAGCTCGCATGCGGCAAGAATCTGTCTCCGCCTCCACCCGTGCGCTCGCGTTGCCACTCGCTCTGTCGTTTGCTACTTGTAATTTGAGTCCGCTAGACGCTAGAAAAGCCTGAGCGTCGACCGATGGTAACGCCACGGAGGGTGCCCTCCAGGGCATCGCAGCGGACGACACCCAGCACTCATCCACCGCTTATGGCTCGGAAATCACGGTGCCAGGCACATATCGATGCGGTGCGACGAAGCATACGATACCGCTTAGGGGATTAGTACTGCGGGCATGGCGAGCAAGTGAATGGTGGCATGGAGTACCTTGGCATACAAAGTATATAAGAGGTCCATGTCAGCGTCAGCCACCACATTCAATGATTGTCGCTCCCCGCAATCGACAGTTACATCAGGTGGCCGGCGGTGCCTGAATTAAGAAGATACTTGGTGCACAATGTCCAAACATCTTATTCTGGCGGCAAGTATGCTCGCTTCGGTCGACGTAATGCCATCAAACCAAGTATCGCGGAAGCGAGAAGGGGCGTCTGAGGGTATATGCATAACCCGCAGCGCAGCTCTCCTCTCTCTCGTGTCGACGTTACGATGACCCTCCGTCGACGATGCATCCTCCTCTGCGTCCTTCTGGGCGGCGCCGTATGCATCTTCACCGTTTTCACTATCACCGTCACCATCGTTTCCGTCGCCGCCCTTCCCGCCATTGCCCTTCCCGCCATTGCCCTTCCCGCCATTGCCCTTCCCGCCATTGCCCTTCCCGCCATTGCCCTTCCCGCCATTGCCCTTCCCGCCATTGCCCTTCCCGCCATTGCCCTTTCTGTCCTCGCTCTTCCTGCCCTCGCTTTTTCCGCCCTCGTCCTTTTCGCCCTCTCAGCAGTTGGTTTCGGCGCCCTCGGGCCCGTTGCTGGTGAGCGTCGTCGTCTCCCATCAGCCTCCCTTCCACTCACTCATCCCGCAGGCTCGTTCGCCGCCGCATGGCAGGCGGCGACCGGCAACGTCGTCGCTGGCTCTCTCTTTGCGACCTTGCAGAGCATCGCGATGACTGGCGTGATCCCACCCCTAGGATACATCATTTCTGGAGGAGTCGTCATTGCGGTCTTAGCCCTCTGGTCCATTGTCTCAGCCCTCTGGTCCATTGTCTCGGGAGTCGCTGGCGTCGTCGTTGGTGCCCTCATGGGCTAGCTCGTGTAAAGAAGGGAACACCCTGCTCTTCACCGATTCTGACTTCATCCCTGTCGACCTGAGCTTTGTACCAGCCTTTTCCGCACAAACCGATGTCTGCGCGGTATGGGGTCATTGACCCGACTTTGAGGTCAATCGCGATATGCAGAGCCCACCTTGATCCCCTTGAACCACGACTGTCGTATCTGACAGACATGTGATGCGTGTCGATGGACATATATATCTTCATATCCAGTACCTAGCACACCAGAAACCGCTCTCGTGAACCCACTTCGCATGCGGTAAGAATCTGTCTCCACCTCCACCCCTGCGCTCGCGTTGCCACTCGCTCTGTCATTCGCTCCCAGTAACAGTCCGCCAGGCGCTAGGAAAGCCGCAGCGCCGACCGATGTCAACGCCACAGAGGATGTCCTCTATGGCATCGCACGGCACTTAAAACTCATCCCCAGCCTATGGTCCGTCCTCCCCTGGAAACCACGGCGCCGGGAACATATCGACGCGGTGCGACGAAGCATACGACGCCGTGAGCGGCGGCACCTACGCCTGCCCCAAGCCCGGCTGCAGCGACGTACCCGGCGAGGGAGAGTCCGCGTGCGGTCGTGGAGATGAGGCGCTCGGGGGTGCGCACCATGTCGAGCAGAACGCTGCGGGAAGCGGCCGGCGGGCCTGCGTACGCTGGCAAATCCCCGGTCTTTCACGCACGATTTGTCACAAAGGCGGGCAGGCGGGCTTACCTCGTGCGAGCGAGGCGGCGAGCAGCAGTGCGCATAGCGCGCTGGCCGCCATGGCGAAGATGACGAACCTGAGCGGGAGGGCCATGGGGGGCTGGACTGCGGTGGGATGTGTTGTGTTGTGGTGTGGGGTAATGCAGGGCACAGCTGAGACGTGCGACAGCGCCACAGATGCGGTGGGGGCAGACACATATGTACCGGCCGGGGTCCTCCCACGATGGGCAGCTCTTCTCGCACCAATTGGCGGTCGTCGTTACCATATTCGTCCGCGCAGAAGCGTCAGCACGTCGTGTGGAACGGCGGCCTTTGACGTAGGTCTCGGAGGTGGTATGGCTATTTCCAGTGGTGGTCCACGATGCGGGGGCACTTGTTGGACCATCTTGGTACTGGAGGGTGCCCGGGGGCAGTCATGAGGCAGCAGGCCTGGATCCCGACATTAAATGAATTAGATGCTTGGTGCACCATCTTCAGACTTCTTCTGGCCGCAAGTATGCCCGCTTCGGTCGACTCGGTGACATCAAACCAAGTATCAGGGAAGCGAGAAGAGTCGTCTGTTGATATATAGCTCGTGATGCTCCTCTGCCCCCTCTCCTCAGCATCACCATGAACCCCCGTGTAAAGAGGATCCTCGTCTATGCCCTTGTGGGCGGCGCCGTGTGCGTCTTGCTCGTCTCTGTCGTCGCCCTTCCCGCCCTCTCAGCGGCCGGTTTTGGCATCCTTGGGCCGCTTGCTGGTGAGCGTAGACATCTCCCATCACAACCGCACATCCACTCACTCACCCCCAGGCTCGTCCGCTGCCGCATGGCAGGCAGCGATCGGCAGCGTCGCCGCTGGCTCCGCTTTCGCCACTTTGCAGAGTGTCGCAATGACTGCTGCCATCCCAGCCCTATGGTATATCGTCCCGGGAGCCGTCGGTGTCGGTATCGGCGCCCTCATTGGCTGGCTCACGGGAGGACGGAACCGCCCTGCTGCTGGCGCCACCGCTGCTGCTCCGGGTGGAGATGGAGGGGATTCTTGGATGATGGACGCGATACGTGCTGTCAGGCGCAGGGTCCACCATCTTCGCTGGGCAAGCTACCGGCTATCCCTCTGGCTTTCGCCGAGGGGAGGGTACACACGTTGCAGAGGTGACGATGGCGGCGAGCGGGGACAAGACGGCGAGCGGGGACGAGGTCGCGGTCAAGGCTTCGTAGGTTGGGTGCACGGTGTTGCGAGGAGAGCGTGGGATTTTTTTTCTTGGCTGAGACCGAGATGGTAAGGAAGTATCCTCGGGAGCCTGTAGGACAGAGGAATTCGTACAGGACGAAGAAGACGTCGGAACGCGTTGAACGCGACGAACGTGGGTATACCGCACGATACGAATTGTATACGATAGTAAATTCGTGTCTTCTTTTCATTATCTTGACTGTTCTCTTGTTTCTCTGCTGTCTCATATGTACGGCCTGTGAAGAGGGAATGGAGCATCGCGGTCTCCGCCGGCGCCGTCGGTTCAGGCTGTGTAGTCGTTCAGCTCCGCCAACAATAAGTGGCCGTCCGATGTGGCAGCAGATTTCCGAGCAATTGCTGGTTGTGGCTGCCCAGTGACGACCAGGCGATGGCGGTGACAGTGCCCGTGCAGATTTCCGCAGAAACGAACGTTGATGCGTGGGGTTGTGTCCCGATCATAATACGATCTCGATCGCAAAACAGGCATTCCAATCTGCTTATAGATGTGGCAACGCAAGTCCGATTGCTCAGCTCAGCCCAAGTCACTTCTTACCTGCCTTGATGTCATAGAACAGAAATACCACACTTCAATCATTTGTTTCATTCATCCTCATCCCCGCAAGGATCCACGCAGGACAACAGTTTCAGTGATTAATCAGAAACATGATTGGCACACTCCGAAGTGCAGCACCAACACGCGAACGACGCGCAGAAACCCCCCTCCGCTTGTACACCTCAAGTCCCCCATAATACAGTGTCACGCAAAATAGACAACATCCATTTGAGCAAACATCTCGCGATGATAAGACAGTGGTTTAGATTCAATAGATTGTTGTACACACAAAGATACAACATTGAGATAATCCATCAGACAAACGCCCAACTCGCTGACCCGACTCCCGTCTCGCCCAAAGGGCAGACAGGAGCGCGGGCCAAACGTCCTCGAGTCCGCCCAAAGACGGACGTGTTCTCGGTATAACGAGCGGGCGCGGATGTCATCGACTGGACACGAAGGATGTGGCATGTGTAAACATGCGAGACTCGAGTTAGTACCTATAAAATAGATCCTAGCTGAGTATGTTCTAAGGAGACAACGATGCACGGCGGGGGCTTATATACGGGCGGTGTTTAGGGCGGGCTGCGCGGACGTCCGGCACCGGGAAAATTGCGCGACGCGCCCACGTGACCGTGGCACGGGCGTATCAGGACGCGTCTTCTAGCGTCGGCACCGTGTTTATATTTATCTTCGGCCCTCTTTCTTCTCACCGACGGCTTGCGATGCTAATAGGGTGTAATAGAAGTCGTTGACATACTGCGGTGAGATTGGGTACAAAGAACAAGCAGAGTGCGGACAATGATACAAGACTAGAGGCTGTAGTATGGTATGATGCGATGGAAATGCGGAGTCGACTCGTAGTAATGCATGGGGAAAAGAAAGACGAATATATATGTAGATAATGAGTCGCGCTTTTAACACGCGGCAACCGCGACCCTCGGCAACTCCGCGACGCCCTCCAGCTCCCCTTCGCTGCCCGCCGAGTACGAGATATCGCGCACGGGGCGCAGCTTGGTGATCACGGTGATCTTTTCTTCAACCTGCGGCGAGTCGAGCGGCGAGTCTGTTAGGACGGGAAGCTCGAGGATCGTCTGCGGCACCGCGGCGTCGGGAGTGATAGGTGTCTCTACTTGTAGACTGGCCGAGGCCGAGCTGCTCGTCGATGCCGTGCTCCTGAGCGTCCCTGACGGCGAGGGTTGGTGATGATGGTGATGGTGATGGTGGCGCGGCGGGTCACTGAGAGGCTCGTCGCCGATCTCGCCCTGCTCGAGAACAATGCCAAACGGCGGCTCGTCGGGCGCGGCGGTGACGGCGGCGGCGATGACCTCTTGCTCCGCCTCCGTGCTGGAGCGCAGCAGCGCCTTCTCCTTTGCGACCTCCTTCGCGAGCTTGTTCATCTCCGTGCGGATGCGCGTCGACATCTCGAACGTGTGGACGAGGCCCGTGTGGTGGTACGGCTCCCAGCCGTCCGGCAGGCGCTCCTCGTGCAGCCACACACGGAGGAGGTCGAGCGGGACGCCGGGGAGCGGCTGCGCGTGGTGCTGGCCCGACGCGGAGCACTTGCCCTTGAAGAAGCGCTTGAGCTTGCCGAGGAACGAGGGCGGGTGCGCGGGGAGGGAGGGATCGGGAGCGGGGTTGTTGAAGAGGTGCATGACGATGGCCATCTCGCCGCGGGCGATCTCGGCGTGGAGGCGGTCCATGGGCTTGAGGTACTCGGCCTCGCGGAGGACGCGGGCGCGGGCGATGTCGTCGGGCGTCATGAGGTGGCCGTCGGCGGAGAAGGCCATGAGGCCCTCGAGCATGTCCTTGTGGACGTGGATGGGGGCGTACTCGTCGCGGTGCTCGACGTCGGGGTGGACGAGGGACGCGTCGTGCTCGATGCACATGTGGCGGGAGAGGTCGTGGAGGCAGATGCGCTGACGGCGCTGGCCGAGGAGGTAGAAGCCGCCGTGGACGAGGACCCAGGCGAGGGGCGCGGAGAGGCGGTAGCCCTTGCGGAGGCCGTGCATGAGGACGTGGGGGGTGATGCATTTGCCGTCGCGGGGAATGTAGCCGTGGTTGGCGAGGGTGTTGAGGGCGGGGCAGGGGGAGCGGCTGTCGCCCGTTTGTGCGGGACAGAAGCCGTTTTTCTTGCCGGTGACGGGACACTCGCCGTGCTGGTGGGTGTGCTCTTGGGAGGCGGACATGGCGGGTTGGCGGGAAGAGGGAGGCGGTTGAATGCCGATAAGGATGGCGCAGGTGGTGCCGACTTTTATCGGGAGGGGCGGCGAGCTTCCCGTCGGTACTGATCGGTAGGCGCTGGCAGGGAAGAGAGGGATGGTGCGACAGCTGACAGCCTTGAGGCCCACGATCTCCCCTCTCGATTTGCGCCCGCGCCCAGATTGGGCAGCGCCTGTCGGCTATCGGCCGGACGCGTCCATCCTCCGTGTTGCACCATCCCCGCTAGTCCTTGACACTGCCATGGAAGACGCCATCCTCTGGCCTGGGTTCAACGACGTCAGCTAGCGCTAGGTCACCGGTGCACCCTTGACGATAACGGCGGGAACCCAGCTCCCCCAGTGCTCTCATCGCCCTCGGTCTCTTTGCGCCTGTGGAGCGTCCGCGCCCGCTGTGCAGATGTCTGCAATCTGAAAATCATGGCGAATGACACCACATGGCTAGATGAATCCGCCCAGGTACCATACACAGCTCACCGGGCGTAACACTTGACAGCATCGCACTTTGCGCTACGCTAATGTACACCGGAGGCGGCGGGAACGGCATAGCCAACAAGAAGGTGGTCTGACGTACCAGCGCTCGGTGGAGCCTTAGCATTTGCCTAACGGAGATAGAGCCATCGCAGGACTTGCGATCTCATGCAGGGCATGTCGGCCTTTCAAGTGTCCGACGCTTTGCGCTAGCATCTGCATAGCCGACAGTCCAGGGCTCATCTTGGCGAGAGACCCACGAGATGTAATAACTGGACACTCTCGTGGTGGATGGCATGAGAAGGGCCTGATGCGCCGGCTTGTCAGTGTCCGTAGGCAAAAGTCAACGTTTCGATTCGACGTTGGTCTAGGAGAACGTTCGAACTTCACAGCGGCTCCGCGCGTCCAAGATGGAATTTGATCGCGTGGCACGTGACATATCATGTCCGATTTTGTTTCCGCGTGTCGAATTCATTGAGTATCCCTAGGCAGCCTACAACAGAGCGCCCTTTTGGTGAGTCTTGTGAGCCGGAGGGTGGTCACTATAAGCCTGTTTCAACGCGCCCCCCCGGACCGTAAGACAGTACAGTATTTCGAGCGTGCTAGCACTTGCCGTCTGATAGACATGCCGGATGTTGGCCGGGACGATCTCATCGGTCGTACCGCTCCTCTGGTACGCCTCTCTAAGGCTTTCTCCACTGCTACTATGGCATTCAACATCGCTCGAGGAGAGTGGAAGATGAAAGTATTGCTAATGAGCAGATGCGTTTTGTGTGCTCCCCATTCCTGTGTCAGAGCTTGTGTTCCACACTACTCGACTGTCTCGCAAATTACAATTTGCACAACTCCCCCACTGGCTATTCCTGACCTTTCCATTCCAGTGGCCTTTCCAAGGATAGAAGGACTATCAACCTGCCTGCAGTACATGGTGTGGGAGTTCCCATACCGAGGTTTCGACGCGACGCGTCCGCGTTGTGTATAGATCACGACGACGCGTTTCGGAGATAAAATCGCTTACGTAACCCCGAAATCGCGACTTACTGCCCCCAAATTGAGACAGACTCAGTCCACTTGCGATATTCACGCATCGCCGCCCTAGCAGATAAGTATCGCGTGCACACCATGGCACCATCATTCCAATTGCAACATACCGAAGACCTTCGTCTCTTCCATTTTGATAGAGTGCTCAGCGAAGGTGAAACACACATGCTCGATCACGTATCTTGTATTTGGATGACCGCTCACGCGACAGTGCTTCCCCGCGCCTGAATTGCTTCAGACACGGCCGCGCGCACGCTTGTCGTGCTGGGCAGCTTTCCAGCCGGCGACGACACCGATGCCCGACTTCCTGCCATTGTCCGCGTCGAGAAGACCGCGCTCCCCGCGGCCGCCCCGGCGGCCCTCGTCTCAGGGATGGTCCGCGATGTGCAGGTCATCGAGCACAACGACATTGTGCGCCGCACGCTGCGTTTCCGTTCCCACTCGCGCTGACGCCGTGCGGTAGTATACGTGGCTGCTCGCTTGGCTGCAGCCCTCCCAAGAGCGTCCAGATGTGAAAATCAACATCATCTGCCCCGCGACGGACGTGCATATCCGCAAGGTGGGCCGTCCTTGTATACTCCCGCCGGGCGTGGAGTGATCCCTGCACCCCGTGTAGTACTCCGCGCAGAAAATCCTGATGGTGCACGAAACGCCCGCCCTGTACGAAGCCATCGTGATGCCGTACATCGCGGCGTTCCCGCGCAGCCGCACGCAATGGTCAGCAGCGCCGCCCGCCTCGTTCCGCAGGCCGTGCTCACTCCGCGGCCAGGGTGACCGACATCATCGAGGGCCGCGCGGAGGCGGCCCAGGTGCTCCACCGCGACGCGCACCCCGACTACGGCTACGTGCTGCTCCCGGACATGAAGTGGGACCGCACCACGCTCGCCGCGCTCTACCTCGTCGCGATCGCCGCGTCGCCCGCCGTCCGCAGCCTGCGCTGTTTGCGGAAGGCGCACGTCGGCATGCTGCAGAGCATCCGCGCCGAGGCCGTGCGCGCGGTGCGCGAGCGCTGGGGGCTCGGCGCGGGCGCCCTGCGCATGTACGTGCACTACCAGCCGTCATATTGTGCGCGCCGCTTCTCTTTCTCTGGGGAGACGCCCATGCCATGCGTGTCTGGCTGACCGTGCCCGTCCCGCAGACCAGTTCCATGTGCACATCGTCCACGCGGAGTACCAGGGCCTGCTGGGCATGTCGGTGGGGCAGGCGCATCTGCTGGACGACATCATTTCGTTGGTAGGTGGGCTGTCACACTCGACGCGGTGCAGCTGCCGACACCATATCCATGCAGCTCGAGCTGGGCCCGGACGACGGCCCTTCGGTTTTCCAGCGCATGACCCTGACGTACGGCCTGGGCGAGCAGCACGGGCTGTTCGAGCCGCTGAGGGCGGCGCAGAGCCAAGTCGATCTCTGAAAATGCGGGAAGGACGAGGAGGCGGAGCGGTTTCAGCAGTTTGTATTCGTATTTGCGTGGCTGCAGGACGTGCATGTCGATTCTGCTGTTGCACACAGGCACCCACAGATCACGCTGCAGGTGCGGAGGCGAAAATGACAAACAATCGGACCTGATCGACGATCGGTACCAACAATCGCCCACTCAGCTCTATCGGCGATTATTTAAATTAAACTGATACGCCGCTGATCCTTTCCATTCCGTCATGAATATACCGGGCGCCAAATATTGTCTCCCCAATCGGGCATCTTTTCACGTCAAATCGCTCCAACGCCGCTTGTCCGCGACCAACATTGAATCTGTCTGAAGAGAGCTCTATCTGTAGCTCTAAGATTTGGGAGATCCGACAAACGGTGCGTAGCTCACCTACATGTACGCACAGGCTCCGAAGTGTTCCGAAGAACTTCACCGGCTTGCTTTCAATGTACTGCTCGCTTAGTTGGTCCACTGCAACGGCGATGAACTCGGGACTTTCTGCGTTCAGGACTCGACCCTGCACTGCGTATATATGAGCATGGTCTTGTGAAACCTATCTGCAGACGCGTGCGAGGAGGACTCAATGGCACTGCCGGATCATACCAGACTGGTTAAGCGTTAGGGTCTGGCGCAGCACGCCACCGCACAGCTACGGCGCACAGCCAACCGAACGCCTGCCGCCTCACGTCTGGCTACTATGACATCTAGGCGTCCAGACGTCCAGGGCCGCACGGGCGGCATGAACCTTCTCGACAATGCGTTCTGCGCGCGGCTCCGCCTTCCTTGACGGCACCGCCAGCTTCGTGCGGGGCTTCCTCGGGCGAAGGTGGTCCGGTGATGCGTGGCTTCCAAGCCTCCCAGCCTCCATCCGACTTCGCTCGACAGCGGTTTCTTCTTTCGCCCTTTCATATCCATAGCTCCGCGGACGCCTGCCTGGCAGGCGTGCGGCGCGATGACCTCATTGCATGAACCTCCGTCGTCGCATACGCCATCGTTCTCCCATGACGCCTGAGCTCTGCGCTACGGCCCTGAAAACGACAGAGGGCGGCAGCCCGCAAGCTTGGTAATGCGAGTCTGTGATAAGATCTTCCGCACCCGTTCGCACCTGACCAAGTATAGCCCGCCGTGTTCGCAATGGGCGTGAATCAGCGTCCGGGGGTACACGAGATTCTGTTCGCACTCTCCTGCGAACGCGAGCCTCGATGCTTCGCGGGACGCCGATGCTGCCGTCGCTGCCCCCGACTGCCCCCGGACGGGGTACATGACTGGCGCGAGGCAGGGCACGTTTTGCCCCACCCTTACACTGGCATAGCGCGCGCGTCGCCTGCATTTCATTTGCGCTGCGATCGATCGCAGCATGGCCGCACCCAAGTTCCGCATCGCTATCTGGTGCGTACGCCCCGTGTATCCGATCGCGGGATGTTGAGATGCGTTGGGGGATCTAGCGGCGGCGGCATTGGTGGGCTGGCGCTCGCCGTCGTCTTGGGGAAGTACGAGCAGAAGGACGCGCCGCTGGAGGTGAACGTGTACGAGGCGCGCCCAGAGATAGCGACGTTCGGCGCTGGTCTATCGGTGTGGCAGCGAACATGGCGCGTTATGCAATTGCTGGGAATGGAACAGGAGCTGTCCGACGCCTCGGTGCGGCCCCCGAGCAAGGGTCTCGGTGAGCGTCACGCACTGCTCTTGTGTGATCACCGCTCACCAGCGGCTTGTGGTGCCATCTGCAGGGCCCGGGTTCGTGTATAGACGCGGTGACCGCGAGACTGACACTTACAACTATCATACAGTAATGCTGCCTTGTAAGTGTCTTCGACGGACCAATATCGAATGGTCTGTAATGTGGGCATCTAGATGGTGCTACGACCATGCATAGAGCTGACATGGTCGGGGTCCTCATGAACAACATTCCGCCCTCGTACAAGATCCACAATTCGAAGAAACTGCAACAATATGTCGAGGTGCTGGACGATAACGGGAACCTCAAACACTATGAGCTTCACTTTGCAGACGGCTCCGTCGCAGAGGCAGATATCCTCTTGGGTGCAGACGGCATCAAGTCTGCCACGCGCATGTGCATGTACAAGTTAGCGCACGAAAGAGACTGCCCGCAAGACGTCGACCGTGACCACTGTACTCGATGCCACATTGCTACCCCAAAGTGGACTGGAATCATCGTCTACAGATCGTTGTTCCCCACAGAACGTCTGAAGGAGATGCATCTTGATCACCAGGGGCTCCGGTTTACGCTCTGCGTATGTAACAAGTTTCCTTTCCCCGCAAGTACCCCGTGATTATAGCCGTTCTGATCGCATGTGTTCGACAGTATTCAGGGAGATCGAAGGTATTCAATTCGTTCCATTCGTAACTTGACAGTAACACCCTGTGCGCACAGCATGTCGTTTCCTATCCCGTCTCGCACGGCAGCTTCATCAATTTCATTGGCTTCAAGTCATACCCCGATGCAGAGGGGTCAACGTACCCCGGCGGAAAGTGGGTGCAGGATGCTTCCGTGGACGAGCTCCGAGATCTCTTCGTGGGATGGGAGGGCGAAGTGCAGGAGATGCTTCAAGTACGTTTATTTGCGGTGACGACGGTCATCCACTGATATCTGGGCGTGCAGTGTGTCGACTCGACCTCGAAATGGGCAATCCATATGGTCACGGGCCTACCGTTTTCAGTGTCAGGCCGGGTCGCGCTGCTCGGAGACGCGGTATGCACGGCGTTATTGCGCTGATACCTTATTTACGAACCGGTCCATCTGACGGCAGGTACATGCCATGGAGACACATCTGGGCGCGGGCGCGGGCCAAAGCATCGAGGTCGGTTCATCGCCATTCTGGGGACCAAAGCAAAGGCTAAGCTGAATCCGACAATTACACAGGACGCGTATATCCTCGGGAGGCTGCTCGCACACCCTCTGACGACCTTGACCAACGTCAAGGAGGTCCTGCGTATATATCAATCTGTGCGCCTGCCGTTCTCGAATACGGTCCTCGGGCGCGCACGAGAGACGGGTAGGATGTGTGAGTTCAACCACCCGGCATACTATGATGGAAGTCCCGTCCCAGACGAGCGCGAACGACTGGAAAAGCTAGGCCAGGCGTTGTACAAGCAGTGGGAGTGGCAGTGGAAGTGGCGTTTCGATGACCAATGGGAGGTTGCGGAATGGGCTATCGAGCAGTTCCAGCACACGGACATCGCTCGAGAACAAGCACGGTGACTTACTAGCGTAGATTCTTGCTGTTGTCACTGCACAAGTGGAATAGAGCAAGCCGAGTATTATCGATAATCTGATGTGCCCACCTGTGCGGCGTAAACAAAAAAAGTATGACAGGCTAAAATTACAATATTTGGATTCGACGACAGTCCGCATGAAAACAACAAAATGCACAACATTCTATGTAAGCCAAGGAGAAAAGCGAATAGCACAATAATCTCGTCAGTGTCGTGCGGATCGTACCAGCGTCGTGTTTTGCACCATGTTCAGCAAGCTGCCTTCACATTTCCTCCTTCTTGAGCCACTCGTCGTCGGCATTGTTCGCCTCGGCCGCGTCGACCGCCTCGAGCAGTTCCGCATCCGGATCGGCGTCAGCGTCCACCTCCGCCTCCGCGTCGGGGTCGGCATCGGCATCGGCATCCGCGTCGGCGTCCATGTCGACGTCCGAGCGCTGCTTGTCGCCTCCGCTCGTGCGCGACATGTCCGAGCCCCTTGGCGAGCCGCGCGCCGAGCTCACGCCGTTCACCATGCCGTTCACCGGCGGAGTCGCGCTCGACGACTTGCTCCCGTTCACACGCGCACGGTGGTGGTGCGACGCGGGCGACTGGGCGCGCGAGCCCCGCTGGCGCGGCGCACGGTCCGCCTCGTACTCTTCGTCGTTCACGGACGAGCCCGGCAGCGTCGCGATGTACGGCGGCGTCGGCGCGCGCTGCGTGCCCATGCGCTGTCCGTGCGGCGTGCCAGGGCGTGTGCGCGATTCATCGCGCTCGCGGTCATGCCGGCCGTAAGGCGGCGAGGCAAGAATGTGCGGGCCGCTTGGTCCGAGCGCGCGAGAGGACTGAGAAGTATGATGAACGGGCATGGTGTCGGTGCGGTGGAGCGTGCGATCAGAGCCCGGGCGGCCATTGAGTTGGCTGTGATGATGCTGGGAGGGGTGGATGGCTGCGGGATGGAGCGCCATGCTGTTCGCCATCTGACCATCGAGTGTCCCGCGCCGCTCGACGCGCTTCATCTTCTTCCGGCATCTGCAGGCGCGCGGTCAGGTCCGGCAATGGCCGCATACGCGAGGCGAGCTGACGTACCTATCACAGACGGTTCCTGGCCCCTCGGGCCCTGGACCCCACTTTTCGACGCACTTGCCTTCTTTGTAGCGGCCGGGCAGCCCACACTGGCGGCAGATGCGCTGGCCTTGCGCGTTCGTCGGCGGATATCCGCCACCCCCGAGTACGGCAGGTCCCGAAATAACGCTGCCGGTCGGACCTGCGCGGTGCAGGCGTTAGCATGCTAATATGCGGCCTAGCGTCAAGCCGGACTCTTACCCAACGTGAGCACGCTGCCGTTGCCGCTCAGAGTGTTGGCGCTCCCTTGTCCCGTCAGTGTCTTGCTCTTCTTTACCGGCGCCCCAGTTACCGGCGGCGCAAAGATGTGCGTCTGGTAGGTCTGCACTTGTCCCGGCGCAGCAAGCGGGCCCGTGCCATGTCCAGGGATCGGCGATACGCCCGTGCTCCCTGGAGGCGACACTCCGGGCCCAGATGCGCTTGCAGACGGATGCAGCTGCCCGTGTGACGGATGCCCACCCACAGCTGATGAACCGCGGGAGCGGGAGTGGGAGTGGGAATGAGAATGGTGGGGAACAGGAAGGTGATGGTAGTCGCGATCACCGCGGTGCGGTGATTGCGAGCGGTTGCGCGAACGCGACGCACCCATGTGCTGCGGATGCTGTGGGAGCGACTGCGAGTGCGGGCGACCGGGCAGGGGTGCGCCGTCCATGCGATGGTCCGGGTCGTCGCCCGTCGTCGCCTCGAGCAGCATCTCGTCGAGACTAAGCGAGCTCGCGCGACTGCCGGATCGGGAGTGCGAGCGCGGGGAGCGGGAGCTCGAGCGGCCACGGTGGCGGCCGTGGCGATCGCTGTGCCCTACACGCGAAGAGCGGGAAGGGGCATCGAGGTAGCGGATGGGGATTGGCTCGTCACGCTCTCGATGCGAGCGATAGGATTGATGAGAGGGCTGGTGGGCATAGTACGGGTGGAGTGCAGGGACGCTGTTGCCGCCGGGATGATGGAGGGGTACTAGGGCGGATTGGTCGTGGCCGTTCGCGTAGACGTACTGGGGGGAGTTCGTGGGCTGAAGTACGTCAGACAAACATAATACAACGACCCTGAGGACCACTCACCGAAACGCTAAAGTGTCGCGAGCGGTCGAGGTCGCGGTCGCTACGGATGCGCTTGGAGGGCGGAGGGCCGCCGGGGCCGGAGAGCACGCCAGAGTAGGCTGCGCCGTCGAGGCTGCCAGAGCGGGGGCGGACACGGCTTGGGACCGGGGGAGGGGGGAGGGGTGGAAATGGCTGCTGGAGGGGGACACCGGCCCGGTGCGAGTTCGAGGGCGTGCGGCCGGAGGAATGCCTGGAGGAAGGTGGATGCGGAAGGGTGGGTGGTTGGGGACCAGGGATGATGATAAGCTGGCCGCCACCCTCTGCGACGAGGCGCGAGAAGCTCACGCGCGCGTCCATGGCGCGGATCTCGGAGGTGTTGAGAAAGGAGTTGAGCTGGATCCAAGCGTCCTGGATGACGCGCAGGCGAGCCTCGGCCTCGTCGCGGGCGATTTCTGCGCGGTCTGCGCGTGCCTCGTACTCCATGATGGCCTTCATGGCGGCCTCGGGAAGGGCAGACGACTGACCATTCGTGGCGGACGCGTTATTGGACGCGGAGGGGGAGCCGTCCGAGGCGGGGCGTTGCGGCGAGGACGCGGAGTGCTGGGTGAGAGTGGCGAGGAGGCGTTCGGCCTTTTCTGCCCTGCGTTTTGTGCGCGAGAGGTCGTGCTTGAGGGCCTCGGCTTCGCGGAGAGACTCTGAAAGGAGGTTTGCGAGCTGGAGGGGCGATTTGCCGGGGGAGCTGGGTGCTGAGGGCACGGTGAAGGAGGAGCCAGAGGTAGAGGGGGCGGGAGGGTCTGGGGGAGAACGGGTCGCCACCGCGACGGGTGGTGGGGGAGGGTTGGGAGAAGCCGACATGCGGTGGTGGAAGAGGGGAGCTCGCTGTGGGGGACGACGAGGACGAGGGGGTAAGGCGAGGGGGGGCGTGGCGAGGGCGGGGTCGGGGAATGGGGGAGGAAAGGGGGTCGGGCGGGGAGGCGCATATTTGAGTGACGGAGGATGATATGCGTGCGGCACGCTCGCGGTGGCTGGGCCTTCCGCTTTCGGGTGGCGCGTGCGGCGATTGGCTGCGGGCACGGCCAGCGCGCGGCGAGTCCCCTGCCTATTCGGGCCGCTTCCCTCCGCTTCGGCTGTTTTCCCGCCTGCGGGCGCGCTGCCTGCCCGCTCATCGGCCAGACACGGCCCTCCCTCCTCGCCTCCCACGCCCGGACCCCCGCCACTGCCCGCGCCCCCCTCGGCGCGCGCCCATGTCCATCATGGTGCGATCCGCAGATCGCGCGCAGATGCGACGCGACGGCGGTCGCTCCCCGGCGGCCTCCGCTGGCACGTCTGCCACATCCGGCGCATGCCAGCGCAAGCCGTGCGCACGCACCGGCGATCGCCCACCGCGCGGGGAGCAAAGTCATCCGACTTGTCCAGGCACAGAGGGTGCACCGCTGGCAGCGCCAGGCGCGCTCGCCACCCGCGTCGAGGCGCCAACGTCTTCCTGATTCTCCGGCCTCGCTCAGCCTCGCGTTCGATGGAAGGGTCTGATCCATGCGGCTTCGGGCGTTGTGTGCGATTCGGTGCGTCTTCGATCCTCGTCCTCCCGGTGCCGACTCGCCCTCCGCCCCGGTCCCAGCCACCAGCACGACGCCCTGCGTCCGCCTGCACGGCCTGGGCCCAGCCTCAGACCCCGCCCCGCTGCTCGACGTCACCTGCCCACGGCTCCCACTGCGCGAGCCACTGCCGCTTGCCTCTTCCGTCCCCGAGCCCTGCGATCTCCCTCCCCTCGCCATATCAGGCCCTCTCCAGCCGCCTTCCCCTCCTCCTCCTAGCGCACTCTCCCGGCGCTCGGCCGCCTCCCCCTCCTCCTCCTCCCTATCGCGCGTAACGGCATCCTCTCACGTTCATCCCCCCTTAGCTCACCTCATGCTTCTCCGCCACCCGTCCTGTCCGCAGCCACGCTCGCCTCCCGTGCCCTGCCTCTGTCCGTCACTTTTCCCTCCGCCATCTGGGGCTCATGCCGTCCCCTCTCCAGCCGCCCTCCGTCTCTCCGGCTGCTATTCTTACCTCGTCATCTCCCTGCCGTATCCAGCCGCCCACCGTCATGTCCGCGCCCGCGCCCGCGCGCTCCGTCCGGCTGGGTCAGCCCCATGTTCGCTCTCTTCTCGCGCAGCTGTCATAGAAACATCACCCGTCCGCGCTGCGGCAACGCGTTCGCGTCTGCTGCGCCTGCGTGTGCATGGCCGCGCACCCCTTTGCTCTCGCCGGCGGATACATGTCGGCCATTCCCACGTACGTCACCTCTCCCAGTACGCTCTCTCCAGCGGAGCCCCGCCTCACGCGGACCGTAGCTGGGTGACCCCGCGATGAGGTGCGGATCGCTCGCACTCTCCCAGTGGTGCGAACACGGCACGCACCACATGCGCCCCAGCTTCTGACATGACAGATAGTGGCTGCTCTTCGCCCGCATGGGCGGGGCATGATGCCCGAGCCGTCCCCGGGGTCCGTCCGGGCTCGCGCGGGCCAGCCCCTGCCGCGCTTGCCAGCGCGCGCGTTGTCGCAGGTGGCGTCAGGTGGCCCGATGCCCGTCGCCCCGTTAAATCAATCTTCCCCATGCCCGCTCCCACACCCCCGCCCACGTGCCTTCGAATGGGAAAATCGGCGCCGCCACTCCCTGGTGGCGCTGATCAGCGGTTCCCGGTCGGCCTGCGAGGTACCGCGGTGCCTTGCGCGTGCCGCTCGGCCTGCCGCCGATCATGCGTGCCCCTGGCCCGCCCCCCGGCGCTGCCGCCACCTGCGCCACCTGCGCCGGGTGTGGTGCTCTTTTTGTCATCGCGTTGTAATGGTCGGCCGCAGCAGCGGCAGGGCCAGTGGCCGTCTTGCGGGCGGCATTTGCTGCTGCACGGCCTCAGCGCGCCCGAGAATGCCGGCCGCCTTCCCTGCGCAGGCGTGGCGTGGCGGCCATCTCGATGATGCAAGGGGTGAGATTCTGCAGATGGCCGCGACACCGCCGGGCTGTCCAATCGATACGCGCGTTGGCGTCCGCGGCATGCGCCAGTTTGCTTCCGCTAAAGCGCCCGCCTTCCCCTGCACAGCGATCCTTCTCGCCCGATCCGAGACGGCCATATGGTCGCACCCCCGCCCATCACAACGCGAAGGCAACGAGGCACCGTCGGACGCTTTCCCCAGCGGCCCGCCAGCTCGCCGCCTTCAGTCCGCTCGCCCATCTCCATCACGCTTCGCGGGCGACCTTGTTCAGCGGCTCCAGGCCCCGCACTCCCAGGCTCCGCCCCCATCGAGCACTCTTTTCCCCGGCGCAGCCCGATCTGCGCTCGCCCGCGCGTGTGTGGCTGCGCTCAGCTGACGTCCGCTGCCTCGCCCCCTCCGATATGCCGGTGTCTTGTCACAGCCAGGCCTACTGTAGCCATGTCCTGTCCGCACTTCTCAAACTCGCATTGGTTATCTCATGACGTCACCTGAGGATAGCAGCTGGCCTTTATGCTTTGAGCTAAATATCATACATGTCATACACTAGATGGTCACACTTCAGCTCGAGTATCACCATTGTTGGCAACTGCTGATTCCTATCTGGCCAATGTTGTATTTTGTAGTTTGATGTGTAGATGCCACATGAATATCTCGGTATTGCTGTAATGTGTATTTGTGATGGTATTTTGTAACAATCTTTGATACAAGGAGTCAAAGGAATATTTTGTTAGGACATTTTAAAATTCATTAGTAAAATCCCAACCATTCTGACTGAGCTGACTTGCCTTGATATCAGCTGGTAAGATGTGTTCAGGGTGTTTAGACTAGAGTGTTAATGGTGTACAAATCAACCTTAATTAAGGTGTATTTCAGTTGCAACAGATGAAATTTGGCCAGACCTTTTTATTAAATTGTACCTGAACTATGTTAGATTGTTACATGAACTAACATAACATGTCGGAAATGTCTGAGGACCTGATTGTTGTAGCTGATGTTCAATGACTTAACAATCTGAGAGAGCCATGTAACAAGTCTGAATGGTACAACTGTCACGAGTTGACACAGTGTCTAGTCATTTTTTAATTTTTTCCTTTCTGCAGGCTTGAACCCGCAAGCTCTATACTATATGCTCAAACAGACAAGTTGTTGTCTACTATATGATTAGATTAGATGGGATGGCAGTGCATGACACGGCCTCTCTGACTCACCAGCCTCCAGGGCTGCATCAGCAGGCTGCACACAGACCAGCTGTGCATGAACCAGTGTGCACAGCCTCTCATAAACTCCCCCTATATATAAGCCGGCCTCTGCTGCCCTAGGGACCTCAGTTTCGACCTCTTGTCCCTAGGTCAGTAAGCCCTCATGTATTCTCACTTCACTTCATGTTGTGACTTAGGGTCAAGTGACAAGGAACAAACAAACTGAAAGGCTGGGGGTGTTTGACTGGGTTGACTGAAGCAATGCATCAGGAAAGTCAGCATTTTCTAAGGGACTGAGCACACTGAGGAAAGCACATCAGTTATCTCAGTCAGCCAGACAAGCCCAGTGTGCTAGTGATCATCAGTCCTGCTGCCAAGGATAAAGCAATTGCCAAAATGAGGGATTGAACCCTCACACTCAAATCACAGCAATCACTACAGCACTTTTACAAGGTGCATTAACCATTATGCTAAGTAGTCATATTAATACATATGTACTGTAAAACCTATATTTGTTACTCATGGCCTCCCAGTGGACTTGTAATTAGTTCCAGGCCTGACAGCGCTTCATCCTCTCTTTCACCATCATCTACCCTTGCTTGGTCATGTGTACACATTTAGCAATGGTGAGTACTCAACACTTCAATCAGTCCTACTCATTTTTGCAGTAAGCATGGATGGGCTGTGGGGTAGGGGAGCACATGTAGTAGGGTGGATGCAGAAAGCGAGTGCAGGCAGAGGTGCAGCAAATTCGGAGGATGATGATAATTAGTGACTTATAAATAGTGTCTATTTTTGTAACATAGAGTTTGCGCTATGTCCATCTGATGTCACCTAATAAACTAAAGCTTTCTGACACGGCTGAGTGCGACTGAGACTGCTAATGAAAATGGACTAATGAAAATAAAAGGATTTAAATTCAGGTTCTAACAGACTAATGAGCTAAGGCAAACTAAGGCAAACTAATTAACCATAAGGCTTTTGATGCCACTGAAATGGCTGACCTCAGTTTGTTAGGTGATTTCCAGTTTTCCTGATGTGGTGAGCGAGCTCAAACCTAAGGCTAGGGACAAGTAAATGTATTAAGTTAGTAAAGGTAAGTAAAAAGGAATACAGGGGCTTACTGATCTAGGGACAAGAGGTCGAAACTGAGGTCTCTAGGATAGCAGAGGCCAGTTTATATACATGTGAGGTTCAGGGCTGGCTGTGTGCTCTGGTCCGTGCACAGCTGGTTTGTGTGCAGCATTGCTGTGTCACAGCCACTGAGGCAGTGGCCCAGTAAGTCAGAAAGGCTGTGTAAGCAGTGCTCATGCTATGCCGGGCTGTGCTGCACAGCCATCTAATTTAATTGATTGAGGCAGCATGACTTGTCCATGTCAGGCACTACCCTGCACAGCAAGGTCATCAGTTCAAACCCAGGAAAGAAAAAGAAAAAGAAAAAGAAAAAGAAAAAGAAAAAGGAAAAAATAGTCCGTGATGTAGCAACTCATGACATTACCCCTCCTGTAGTGGTGCATGACCTCATGCAAGGCGCCCTTGCCTGATACAACGGTCTATACTCCTATATTGATGCCTGACTCGTAGGCGACGAGCGAGGGCTTATGGACAGTACATCGTCCTGAAGATCGAGCGAGGAAGTCGAGAATGACCACTACCCCAAGCGAAGAGGAGCAGAGACTTGGATGAATAACCAGGTCGAACTTAGGGTTCGACCGACTAATGGTACAACTACTTATACAAGTACCGACTGCGCACGGACCATCGTGTCTATGTGGTCGTGTTAGTGAAGAAAGAAACATAGTGGTATGATGCCGAGTACGAAGTGCGCACGGACCCCATTATGTAAGCTACATAATGTTCAACCTGCGGGTGAGCGCTAAGACAGGCACCAGTATGGGCGCTAGTAGTACAAGAGATAGAACGGAAAGACAAATGTTTCATTGCCCATCTCCCACCCAGAGCGGCAGCGTGCTTTAGTCAGTGGCGAAGGTATTGGCTGAAAGTTGGAACCACCAAAGGTAGCGGCATTGAGGCGGTGAGGGGCATTCAGATTCTTCCAGTGGAAGTCGGCTATGAGGGCCGGCACATTTGCAACATTGCGCACCGGTTCCCATGACGTATGCGAGTCATCATAACCCTTCCATTTGACAAGGTACTGCAGCTGACACCAGAAGATCCTCGAATCTTTGATGCGCTCAACCTTGTACTCCTCATCGCCCTCAACCTCAATAGTGGGTGGCTCCTCCGGCTCCTGGTCTGGGATGTCACTACACGTGTACTTGCTTAGCAGGGAGACATGAAACACTGGGTGCACAGGCACCAACTTTGGTAGAACCAATTTGTAATCTAAATCTCCGAGCTTGCGCTGCATGGCATATGGGCCGAGACGCTTGGGACTGAGCTTCTTGCTCAGCTGTTTCAGCTTAAGGTTCCAAGCATCAAGCCAGACCTTATCCCCTGGCGTGAAGACCAGTGCCTCTTGCACGTGCTTATCGTAGTACACCTTCATCCGCTCGACTGATAGCTCAAGTGCAGAGTGCGTATCATCCCAAATCTCCTTCAGGGGTTTAAGCCGATCTGCGGCTGCAGGCATTGTGGACATCAGATTGATCCACACTTGGATCTCAGGGTGATAAGCCCGATTCAGGAAGAAGGGGGAGTGCCTGGTTGCAGAGTGAACTCAGTTGTTCAGTGCAAACTCTGCAAGTGGCAACTGCTTTGCCCAATCATCCTGCCTGTGGCTTGTGAAAGCATGCAGATACTGCTCAATCTCCTGATTCCAATGCTCTGTCTGGCCGTCCGTCTGAGGGTGGAATGCTGTGGACAGTGCTGGCTCGATCCCAAGTCCCTTGTACACTGCATGGAGATACTTTGATGCAAACTGGGGACCTTGGTCTGATATGACATTGGCCGGGGCCCCATGATGCTTGAACACGTTGTGGATGTACAAGTCTGCTACACCTTTTGCCATCAGGGTCTCATAACAGGCAGAGAAGTGGACCTGCTTGGTAAAGCAGTCAGCGGTGACCAGAATCAAGTCAAATCCATGTGGTGATGATCTGCCATGGGTGCTCGGGGATCTCATTTGGCTTCAGTTGACCCTGGGGCTTGGCTGGGAATGTCTTGGTATGGTTGCACACATTGCAGGTGCTTACATACTCATTGATGAACTTAGACATCCCAGGCCACCAGTAGTTCTGTGATACCAGCTCAAGGGTTTTGGTACGACCACCATGACCGGCAATCGGCGAGTTGTGGTGGATTTTGACAATATTCTGCCAGAGCTTTGCGTTCTTTGGGACCTATACACATTCATGGAACAGCAGAAGCCCTTGTTTGGCATTCCGCTCCTTAAAGCCCTTCTGCAGACGAGGCGGCCTGAGGTTCTGCACCTTCTTAAGTGCCTCAGCCACCACCCGATCCTTATCCGAGCACTCTCTGATGTGTCTTAGGAGTGACTGATTGGCTGTCACCAATGCATGCCCATGCTGTGTGGAGGCAATGCGGAAGTGCTCCTGTTTGAGAACAATCTGATTGGTGTTGTCATCCTCATCGCTGACCTAATGGTCTGATCAGCATGACAGGGCATCAGCCTTTCGATGTTCTGGCTTTATGCGTGATGTGGAAATCAAAGCAAGCGAGGAACAGCAACCATCATGCTTGATGACGTGTGAGGTGCTGCGACGTGCACCAGTACTCGAGGTTCTTATGATCGGTCACAATCTCGAACTGTTTGGGTAACCCCTTGAAGTAGTGGTGCCAATCTTCCAACACTTCGATGATCGCAAGCATCTCCTTGTCATAGATCTCATAGTTACACTGGGCAAGGTCCATAGTGTGAGATCGAAAGGCGACCGGATGCCATTTTCCATCATCCTGCTTCTGCATTAATGCACCGCCAGTGGCATATCCTGAGGCATCAACCTCAATGTGCATTTCTGATTGGAGTCGTACAGCACCAGAACAGGGGTTGTGCCGAAGAGCCATTTGAGCTCATCGAAGGCATGCTGCTCCTCATCTCCCTAGTGTCAGGGGTTGTTCCCTGTGAGTCGGTCGAGTGGTCGCGAGATCTTAGCAGAGTCTTTAATGAAGTGGCGGTAGAAATTGGAGAACCCCCGGAACTTTTGAACATCTTTTTTGTTCCAGGGTACTGGCCACTCATTAATTTCTTTTAGCT